AGTTAGAAACATCGATGAGAGAGAGTCATCAATCAGCTGCCTCTTGCACATCCCCTACTGGGGATATGCCCGCAACCAAGATACATGCCCTTGACCGGAATCGAACCCGGGACCCTTCAGTCCCCAAGCCAACGCTCTATCCATTAAGCCAAACCTGTCTCGGCAAGACAGTAATTTTTCAAAGAGGCCACCAAGTAAGGCATCTGAGAAGCTATCTCAGGAGACAGATGATGTTTCGGTTGCTCCCAAAGGAGAGACCCAAGCCAGTCAGCGAATGGTGAGGGGGGCAAGCAGGAGTCCTCCCACAATAGGCCAGAAGGCTGTGTGTGGGACAGCTGCGGCCAGGCCCGGGAGGTGGTCCCGGAAGTCTGAGCAGCCCAGCAGGGGCGCTGTGGAATGGCAGCTGCACTGTAGATGTGGGGTTGGCCTTGATGATTGCAAGTTCAGCAAATGCTAGAACTTTAGATAAAAAACCAACCAACCAGTGCATGCTTTTACATTATAGGAGAATGTAACTTCATATATTCTTGGTACCTTTCCAGTAGGAATCCGCTGCTAAAGATTTATCTAAGAGAATAAACTGGACAAGTGCACAAAGCATGTTAGGAAAGAGCACTATTTTTAAATATTAAATTGGTTTCAGAGAAGAAGGGAGATGGGGAGAAACAGAAACACCAATGATGAGAGAGAATCATTGACTGGCTGCCTCCTGCACGCCCCCTACTGAGGATTGGTCAACACTCAACCACTGAGCTATGATGGTCAGACAAGAGCACTATTTTTAACAGCAGAAAACTTCAAACAACTTAAATGTTCATTAAAAAACCAGTGACCACTTGGTGGCATTCGGACGCCACTTTAAATATCAAATGAAGATTTTTGGAGGGGTGAAGGATGTGGGACAGGAAGTGCAGAGAGAGAGGAACACTGCTCCTTTTTCCTCTCCTCTCTCTGAAGACTGACTTTCTCCTCTTTAATATTCATGAGGCCAACAATGACTACCTCTGCCTGGACAACACAATCTACAACTGGTTTAATGTTCCAGTCTCAATTCGCAGGAGACTCTTATGGATCAGCTAGCGTCTGATGTCCATTCCCAAGTCAGTCAACTGTGACCGGGAGGTGGGGGTCACATGACACTCACTTGTGGTTACATCCATTCCCTAAGCAGCTGCTGCTTGGTGATGGGCATCCTGGAGATGTCTATACTCCATCAGACTCGCCCAGAATCAACTGGCAGCATCTGCATCACCAGGCAGCTTCTTCTTTTTAAAAATAATTTTATATGAGGAGAGATTGATTTATTGTTCCACTTATGTATGCATTCATTGGTTGATTACTGTATGTGCCCCGATGAGGGATTGAACCCACAACCTTGGTGTATTGCCCGGTATATAGATCTTGGGCCTTCAGATCTAATGGTGATCGCCTTGTTGGGGTTTGGATTTGCTTGGAACCCACAACCCCTACCTTCCTTCTAATTTCTCCCTTTTAGACTGAGAATGTCTACCCTATGCCTGTCCCATAATTGCATTTTGGAAGCACATAATCTGTTTTACAGGTTCACAACTAGAGAGGAATTTTGCTCTAAGATGAATCGTATGTAGCCGAAACCGGTTTGGCTCAGTGGATGGAGCGTTGGTCTGCGGACTGAAAGGTCCCAGGTTCGATTCCGGTCAAGGACATGTACATTGGTTGAGGGCACATCCCCAGTAGGGGGTGTGCAGAAGGCAGCTGGTCGATGTTTCTCTCTCATCGATGTTTCTAGCTCTCTATCTCTCTCCCTTCCTCTCTGTGGAAAATCAATAAAATGTATTTTTTTAAAAAAAGATGAATCATATGTAGAGTTTTATGCACATTTGACTTAGAGGATATATAGATACTCTGGACTTGAGAGTTGATCCTGGAGAGTTAAGACTTTTGGAGTGTTGGGAATGTGTTTTGCATGTAAGAAGGACATTTTTTTTTGGGGGGGGGGGGGGGGGCTATTCTGTTACAGCAGCCTGAGCAGACCAAGACAGATCACATTTTGCTTGTGGTGTCCTGGGTTTGACTTTGCTGTAAAGCCACTGCTTAATTTCGGTATTGGCTGCCATCTAGGGACTCAAAAATTCCAAAACTATCAAGATCTGGCTCCTTATTGTTTAATAAGTCATTTCTCTCCTTAAATTTTACCATAAGCAGCAAGAATATACCAGGCAGCACCTTCAGCTTAGAAACTGCCTTAGATTACTCAGTTCATTAGAAACACTTTCTTGCCGAAACCGGTTTGGCCCAGTGGATAGAGTGTCCGTCTGCGGACTGAAAGGTCCCAGATTTGATTCCGGTCAAGGGCATGTACATTGGTAGCGGGCACATCCCCGGTAGGGGGTGTGCACGAGGCAGCTGGTCGATGTTTCTCTCTCATCGATGTTTCTAGCTCTCTATCTCTCTCCCTTCCTCTCTGTGAAAAATCAATAAAATATATTAAAAAAAAACAAACACTTTCTCTTTCCACATACAGATGACAGTGTGGCTAAATCTTTTGCCACTATGTAAAATCTTTTGCCACTAAGATCCTTTTCCCTCCAGTTCCAATAATGTGTCCCTCACTTCTTTTTGAGCCCTCACTGGCAGCATCTTCAAAGTCCAGATTTCTAAGTTTATTAAAGATAATTTAGGTTTTCTAAACACTCCTCAGGATTTTTTTAGTCTCTGTCCATAGCCTGTTCCAAACTACTCCCACATTCTAGTTAGTTATGACAGTACCCCACCTCCAGGAGCCAAAAATCTGTATTACGTTATCTACGTTACATGACAAATTGCTCCAAATCTTTGTGCCGTAAAAAGACTTCATTCTTTTTGTTGTTGTTGACACTAGCACAGATGTCCCATCCCTCCCTTTGCCCCTCTCCACCCAGTCCTTGGCCCTCTTCCCTCTGGTCATCACCAAACTGTCATCTGTGTCCTGGGGTTATGCATATATGTTCTTTGGCTAATCCTGTCACCTTCTTCTTTGAGGGAGCGTGAGAGAGACACACACACGTCTATCTGTCTATATATATATATATATATATATGTAAAAGGCTAATATGCAAAGTGTCCCCTCAGGAGTTGGACTGGGAGCTCGATACCTCGCTATGATGCTGACCACCAGGGGGTGATGTGGAATGAAGGAAGGCCCCAGGTCTAGCGACCTTCCCCATGCATGAATTTTGTGCACCAGGCCTCTAATCAATGATAAGAGAGAATCATCAACTGATGCCTCCTGCACGCCCCCTACTGGGAATCGAGCTTACAACCTGGGCATATGCCCTGAGCGGGAACCTAACCAGTGACTTATTTCCTGGGTTCACAGACAACCACTGAGCCACACTCTCTTGGGCTCCAATAGCCTTTTTTCTTTTCTTTTCTTTTCTTTTCTTTTCTTTTCTTTTCTTTTCTTTTCTTTTCTCTTCTTTTCTTTTCTTTTCTTTCTTTCTTTCTTTTACACATAACATTGGAACTTTTAATTTTCTAATTAAAATTCAAGTTGCTAAAAGTGGATACAGTAGACACTTGGACAGCCAATTTGGAAGAAGCTTCATTTGAGAGAGAGAGAGAGAAAAAAAGAGAATTTCTTTACCTGACTGCTTTGGATCTCTACTCTAAGCCTTTCTCAGTGTGTAAAGTGGAAACTCTACCTCATCCAATTGCCTCTTTAAAAAAAATTTTTTTTTTTATTGATTTCAGAGAGGAAGTGAGAGGGAGAGAGAGACAGAAACATCAATGATGAGAGAATCATTGATCAGCTGACTCCTAAACATCGCCCCCCTGGGGACTGAGCCCGCAATGGGAATGAAACCCGGGCCCTTTCAGTCTGCAGGCCAACACACTATCCACTGAGCCAAACCAGCCAGGGCTCCAATAGCCTCTGAATAGCCCTCCTTGTCTTCATTCCTGCCCCCCAATATTTCATTTTGTATACAGCAGAGTGATCTTTTAAAACATAAACATAAGAACATCACTCTGTACTTTAAAAATCTTCCAATGGCTTAGAATAAATTCCACAATCCTTACCGTGACTCCTAAAGATACATACGATGCAGCCCCATCCACTTCTCCAATCTCAGCTTTTATCACTCCCTCCCGCTGTTCCCTGTCTCCGGCTACAATGAATGACCTTCCTGCTGCTCCTTGAACACATGTAGCTTACTTCCGCATTAAGACTTTTGCACTTGCTGTTCCATGTGCCCAGAAATCTCCTTCTTGTAGTTTCAACAGACAGAGCCTTCCAGTTCTTCAGAGGTCTCAGCTTCACCGTTACCTCCTGAGAGACCTTCCCTGACCAGCTAATAGGGAAAAGTCCTCACATCCAGTTACCTTACCTCAGTTCCTGTTCCCTTTATCCCCAGCGTTTCCCCCTGTTTATTTCCCGCTTTCTTTTCCTACTGTTCCCCCCGAGTCCTTAGGCCCGGCACACGCGGTGCTCAGTGAATGATTGCACGAATGAAGAACCACCAGAGCAGAGGCACAGCCAGAAAGCCCTGCAGGCCCCTGACAGGTGCCGGCACAAGGTAAGGAGCACAACCCGGACCCCGGCTCAGCGGCGTGGGAGCCCGGCCCCGGAGGCTCCGCTACCTGACCTGCCAACGGGGTTAGGGACGTGCCCGGCTTCGTCCCGGCGACCAATGCCCACTTCGTAAAGAAGGAAGGCGCTGACGGAGGAAAAGAGCTTCACGAGAATGAACGCTCCGCATAAAGAACCATGACAGCTGCTATTAGTCACAACTCCGTTCTCTTACCGGGGGCCCGTCCGGGGCTTCAGTTTCCTCTGCCCTACCGCGGGGCGACATCCCGCGTCCTCGCCGCACGCAGTCTCCAGCGACTCGGATCCCGGAGGCGCGAACGCTCGAGGAGCCGCGCCAGCCCCTCGGCTTCCCCAAGCCCCGCCCCTCGTTCCCCAAGCCCCGCCCCATCCACAAGCCCCGTCCCCTCCTGCGTCATCAGCGCGGCGCGGGCGCGGCGGAGGCCCGGGGGCCTGGCCCGCTGCGGCGCTCGGGAAGGCCCCGGCAGGCGCCTGCAAGTGCCCCGCGCGGCTGGGCAGCGGCTCGGAGAGCCCAGCGGGCCGCGGCGAGGGGCGCGTAGAGCGGCGGGCCGCGGGGGCGGGCGCGGGCGTGGCTGCCGGGAGCTCAGGCGGGGCGCGGCGCCGGCGGGCGGGGCTGCCCGGCGCGGGTGTCCCGGCGATGTGTGGCGCTGAAGCGGCAGCGGGAGCAGCGGCGGCGGCAGTCTCGGCGTCGGCTTCGCGGCGGTGCCGGCGGCGGAGGCGGAGGCGTAGGCTCCTCCCGAGGACCTGGCGAGCGCGGGCCTAGGCGGCGGCCCGGCGAGGCCCCTGCACCGCGCTCGGGCTCGGGGCCCTCTCCGCCTCGCCCTGCCGCGGGAGCCTGCGTCCCCGGCCGGGGATGAGGCCGGGAAGCAGCCGCGCAGGGCCCAGCACAAAGGCCTGTCCCCAGGGGCCGGCACCGCCACTGCCGCCGCCGCCAGCCTAGAGCCGCCTGCCGCTGCCGAGCCGGCGCCGGGGTCCTCATCCCCGCCGGTCCCCGGGGCCGGCTGCCGCCCCCCTCCCCGAGGCCCAGGGGCCCGGGCGCCGAGCCCCGTGCTCCCTTCGCCGCGGTGGGCCCGGACCGCTGCGCAGCCTCCGCCGCTCCCGGCCGTAGGGGCCCCACGGAGCATGTCGGAGAGCGACATGGAGAAAGCCATCAAGGTAAGGGGGAGATGCCTCCTTCCTCCCCGCTTTGCCCTGTGGCATTCCTCTCGGCTCCGGCTTCAGGAAACGGAGGGAACTTGGGGTGAGATTCCTGCGACTCCCGGGTGCGACTCCCGGGGTCTCGGTCCCCCCCGGACTCGGTGGCCTGCGTTTCACAGCCCTGGGGCGCAGGGTTTGTCCGGGGCTGGAGGGCGGGGTCTCACCTGGTTGAGGCGGGGGGTGTGGTTTGTGCTCACCTGGAACCGAAGATGAGTGGCTTGGAGATACTTGATGTGCACGGGATGGAGGGGGTCTCACTACTCTGCTTTCGATCTCTCCCCAAGTGCCGCCAGCAGTTGCTTCCGGATGATCCGCTTGCTGCAACAGCACTTGGAGACTTGGACTTTACCCATCCCTCCGATTTGTTTGAAACTAGCCTCTTGGAAATCTGCAGTTTCAGAAGGAGGTGGTTCGCCTTCCTACAAACTCAGTCTTTGGCCAATAGATTGTACTCATTTTTCAGTGTGTTCCCCTCCACTTTGCCTCTTTCCTCTCCCCTCTCCTCCTAGGGAGCACGGAGTTTATTTAGGAAGAGCTCACGGTGTCCTGTGACTTACTGCTCTGTTAACCACAACAAAAAGCTACTACGTTTTCTAAAATGACCCGAATAAAATGACAGTTTTTCTAAAACCTGATTTACTTTTTCTTAAAAAGCTCTTTGAGGCACTAAGAGGAAATTATCTAGCTATAATTAGGAAATTAGAGTCTTGTACAAATTGAACATGAAACTTAACGTCTATTGGTGTTATTCACTATTTTACAATGTTAAGTCAACTCAACATATTTAAGGATTTCATGAGGATTTTTGAGGGACAGGAACCCATTGGCAGTTTAAGGGTTACTGTATTTTCCCCTTCAGGACACAATCACCATGACCAATAACTGATAAAGAACTTAAACTTCTAACAAATTTTTGGATGGTAAAGCTTATGGAAATCATTACCAAGAAACTTCACCTTTTAAAAGATACATAAAAATATAATGTATACGTTAAGGGAGATCAAATTTTTAATAATAGAAATAAAGGTTCTAAAAGACTGCTTTGACAGATCAGTATCTCCAGAGAGATAAACCCATGTTTTAACTGTTTTAGAAAAACTTGAACTCTGCTCATTAATAAAGCGAAAACCATAAAGACTCACTCTGTAAAGAGGATGGCACTTGTCCCTGAATTGTGTGGCCAGTTGGGCATGCTGCAGGCTATAGTAATAGGCTGCTAGCTGGAGAGAGAAAGCAGAGCAAGCCTGCTTTTCAAAGCACTGTTAGCATCTAACACCTAGGAAGGAACATGATGGAGTGAATTCAGCTGAAGAGAAATCAAGATCATCATAAACTTACATATCTAGTCATTATTATAGACTTTTGCTTCAAGGTTTCCATATAAACTTAAGCTCAACTTAATAAAACTACATTAAAACTCAGAGCACACTCAAAAGGCAGGTCCTATGCATGTGCAAGTAGATTTAAACATTTCAGCTAACACTAGAATTTACCCTCTAGATACTGTCATATGTGTGTGTGTGTGGTTTTAACAATTTTATATTACCTAGTGGTTTCAACAATTTCTGGGGGCAATATTACCTAGTGGTTTCAACAATTTCTGTAGGTAGGCTCATGGGTTGAAATCTCAGTGTTGCCATTCATTAACTGTGTCTTTAAGTCAACTTCACTCCTTTGTCCCTTAGTTCCTCATCCATAGAAAGGAGATAAAAAACACTCCCCAGCTCATAGGGTATTTTTGAGGATTTAATGAACAAATATCTAAATGTGCTTATGACAATAGCTAACATTTAGTAAGAGCTTGGTGAATATTAGCTAATAGCAATTTAAGAGGTTTAGAAAGAGAGGCTGTTTTCTTCACTTGGTCATTATTGCCTAAGGTATTTTTTTTTTTAAAGCCTTCACATACTTTATATATTTTATTGATCTCAGAGAGGGAGGGAGAGAGAGAGAGAAACATCAATGATGAGAGAGAATTACCTGCATGCCCCCTACTGGGGATCTAGCCAGCAACCCTGGCAGGTGCCCTGACCAGGAATCAAACCTTGACCTCCTGGTTCAAAGATCAATACTCTACCACAGCCACACAGGTGGGCTAGCCTTCACACACTTGACAGGTCATCGGTGAGTCTTCCTACTAATTTGGGTGTGCCTAACTAATACAAATTAGTGAAGCTAAAAATAACTGACAACCAGTACTGACCAGAATGTAGAAGCAAGCCAGCGCTCATGGTTTTGCCTTTTTGAGGCTGCCCCTCAAGTGGTGAGAACAGGTCAGCTGGGAAAGCTGTTTTCCTGGGCGCTAGCACTTAAATTTAGGCTGTCTGACTACCGGAGAGCAGGCTGATTGGCCTTTTGGCAGGGATTCCCTTGAATCTATTAATGGGTTGGGGACTGTTGCCATCTTAATATTGTCCTCTACTCCATGATTAAAAATGTATTGAAACTTACGATCTAGCACATGGAGACTATTCCATGTGCACTTGGGAAGAATATACATTCCCCTCTTGGATGGGGTGCTGTGTAGATGTCAGATAGTCAGGTTGGTTGAGAACATTGTCTTCTGTATGCTTGCTGATTTTCAGTCTAGCTTTTCTATCAGGAAGAATGGGGAGTATTGACATCTCCAAGTATTTCTGAATTTTCTATTTTTCCCTTAAATTCTGTCAATTTTTGCTTCATTTATTTTTGGATTCTTGTTAGGTGCATGTATATATGTTTGTAATTGACATTTCTTCCTGTTGACCTTTTTATCATAAGAAGTGCTTCCCTTTTGCTATTAACATCTTTTGCTTTAAAGTTTATTTTGTTTGTCAGTATAGCTACTCCAGGTCTCTTATGGTTACTTGTGATATATCTTTTCCCATCCTTTTACTTTTTTCTTTTTTTTAAATTGTAGTATAATACAACAAAATTTACCATCTTAACCATTTTTTAAAAATATATTTTATTGATTTTTACAGAGAGGAAGAGAGAGGGATAGAGGGTTAGAAACATCGATAAGAGAGAATCATCGATCAGCTGCCTCTTGCACACCCCCTACTGGGGATGTGCCTGAAACCAAGGTACATGCCCTTGACCGGAATCGAACCCAGGACCTTTCAGTCCGCAGACCTTTCAGTCCATTGAGCCAAACCGGTTTCGGCCCATCTTAACCATTTTTAACTGTACAGTTTGGTGGTATCAAATACATTCATAATGGAGTGTAACCATCACCACCATCCATCTTCAGACTCTTCAGCTTGTAAAACCTAAGTTCTATATTCATTAAGCACCAACTGCCCCATTGTCTCTTTCCCACCAGCCCCTGGCAAACACTGTTTTAGTAATTCATTTCACGATTATTGAGCATTGCTATGAAGGCTATTCTAAGCTTGTCTTATATAGTTGCATATTCATTAGGCAGCAGCTCTGTTTTCATCTCTGAATTTAGCCCTGTGTCTGGCACACACTAGCTGCACAATGAGTGTGTTTCATGGACAAATAACCTGTTCTCATACACTGGGAATCAAGATTCTAGTGATAACTATGGTTTATCATATTTTCATTGCAACAAAACAATTTTAAAGTCTTATGAGTTTTGGCCTAATTTCTCAAAGTCTGCAGTTAGTTTCCTGTTCTATATGTGGAACTACATGTAGAAACGTAAGTTTTATAGCTTTCTTGCTTATAGGCAACAAAGGCTCAACATATCAGTGACTAAACAGGAATTCCATGAAAACGTTCATTAAACTGTAGGGAATCTATGTGGAACTATTGAAAACTATTGAAAAAATTTGTTGAAAAATATAAAAAGTATAGTTATATAATGAATATAACAATATCTTTGTACTCAAAATGGTGCTGTTGAAAATTATATAAATTTACTATGATGTTTATTGCTATTTTACTTGAAAATTTAAGTCTTGACTTATTCAGTTATTCCAAAAATTTGATCAGTTTGTTCTAGGATATAGGCCTCTATATCATAGGAGCATTTATAAAACTAGTTTTTCTGGAATCTCAGAAAATACTTGGCCATCTAAGCAAATAAGTATTTAGTAGTGAAGCATTTTACCTCTACACTCCAAAGACAAAACAAGACATTGAGTGGTTCTACTTCAATGGACCTTGTATTATAGATGAGCTGACAAATTTTTTGACCTAAAGTTTTTGCTTTCGCTCTTGTTGGAAAATATGCCTAATCTAGTTATTGGAACAAAATGTCTAATTATAAAGCCCTACAGAACACAAAGCTTTGTTTATCAGATTCTCTCAGAAGATGAGCTATTGAATGATAAGATCTTCTGTTGTCCCACCTCTGTTTAATTGTCCAGCTTTTTAATTGGAGAATTCTCTGCCCTTTCTTTTTTATTTTAATAGGAAACCTCCATTTTAGAGGAATATAATATCAACTGGACTCAGAAACTGGGAGCTGGAATTAGTGGTCCAGTTAGGTAAGAAACCCATGTACAAATTATGACAAAATTGTTCTGAAAAGGGCCATTTGAAATACATCTTAAATTAGAAGCATCAAGGGTGCCAGACTTGTGAAATAGCCTTAATTTAACAAGTAGAGGTTTTTATGTTAGGCTATTTCTCATCTGTTTAGGAATATACTTAAGTGACCAAATCACATGTTCTATAACATGGAATCATTTAAGATGTTGATCCTGTGGAACTACTGAGAGTTACCTGTAGCCAGCAGAGGCCTCAAGTTGGCATCACATGGCTTAGGAGCTGAGGCCTAGGAAAAGTGGATCAGATACTGCTCTGCCTTTCCACCTGCTAGCCTTGGGGGCAAGTTTGTTCGGATGCACCTGGATATATTCTTGATTAGAAGTACAATCCTCAAAGAACAAACTTGTTAAGTTAGTTTTCACTGTTACATAGATGATTTCTGATTGAATTTTTTCTCCAAATCTAGAGTCTGTGTGAAGAATTCTACCCAAGAACGGTTTGCACTGAAAATTCTTTTTGATCGTCCAAAAGCTAGAAATGAGGTATGATCCTTTACTGCCTTGTTTTGCCTAAATATTGAAGTGCCTAATAATTCATTTTATAAGTAGAGCAGCTTCATGCATAAATGCATGAAGAATTTTTTTTTAAATTTAAGTTCATACCTACCCCCCCCCCTTTTTTTTTGCTGTTCATGTTATTATAAAAGCAGTCCTACATCTATCACTACCAAAGACTGTTAGTAGAGTCTTGTTTCAGCTAATGTGATTTTTATACGTAGTTGAGTATTCAGGTTTACTTCCACTTTTGCTTACTGGAAACCATCCTTGAAGAGTGGAGAGAAAATAATACAGGGAAGGGTCTGGTGAAAAGTGTCTTGAAAGTGGCTGCAGGAGGGCTCTGCAGGATGTGTTTCTAGTAGTTTTAAACAATTGGCATTTGTTTTGAATGATCTGGACTGGTGATGACATGCTAATAAGAGTGCAGTGAAAGACTCACTCTTTTGCTTATAAATGTATGAAAAATATCTGAAAGAAAAGAAATTATTTGCTAATTCATTTGCTAACGGATAGGACAGGAGCAAATAATCTGTTGTTGAGGTTTCATTCATAGAAACCATCAAGGAGGTAATCTGTGTGCGATCCCCTTGTTTTGTACGTTATTCTAGGCCACAAGGTTTTTTACTGTAATAGGCTTAGCCTCTTGTGCCTAATGTTGTCAGTTTTTCCTGGGGCTGTTGAGAGAGAAGATGTTGGCCTCTCCTATGGACAGAAACATTTCCTCTCTTCTCTTTAAGGTACGCCTGCACATGATGTGTGCCACACACCCAAACATAGTTCAAATTATTGAAGTGTTTGCTAACAGTGTACAGTTTCCTCATGAGTCCAGCCCCAGGTAAGATTACACAGGGTCATCATACTATGCCCACCTCTCTATACGTAGGCCAAGGTGCAGTGGGTTTTTTTCTTTTGTGTCCCCCTCTCTCTTCCCCTTTCACTCCTTTCCTTCCTCCCCGTCTGCATCCCTCCCTCTTTCTCATTCTTCTCTACATTTTGTTTTGGAAAATTTCAAACATTTGTGAAAGCAGACAGAATTATGTAATGAATCCCCAGGTTCCCATCACCCAGCTTCCGCAGTGATGAACTCGTTGCCAGTCTTGTTTCCTCTATACCCTATTACTCTCCTGGCCCCTCTGATTATTGTGATTACCTTCTCTCTCTCCCTTTTTTTTTAAAGCAAGTAATGTGGAATTAAAACAGATTCTATTTCAAATTAGCAAAAGGGGACCAAATATTATTCTAGGCAATGTTTTAGAGGCTGATATGGCAAAAAGCCCTTATTACTTAGTCTGACATTCCTTTTAAAGGAAGAAACCAACATCATTCTTTTAGCTGCCAAATGTTTGGCAAGCCCATTGAATGGTGTTCTAAGTCTCTTCCTGGAAACTTAAAATTAAAATAAGGTTTGTTTTCTGTTGGAGGGAATGAGCTCTAAATCTGCCATCATAGCAGTGGGATAGGCATCAAGGAGAGCATCCATAAAATACTTCGAGTTTACAAAGGAGAGTTGCTGGGGAGGTGAGTTGTCTCACAAAGCTGTTATGTGGGAACTAAGACTTGAAGGGGATAGGAAGAAGTTTTCCAGGTGGAGAGAGAAGATGGATTTGTAAAAACAAATGGGAAATGAATGATTATTTCTTACAACTGTGCTCTGTTGGTGAAAGCATTTGGATGGAAGCTGGAAACATTTATATCAAAGGATGGTAACCAAAATTCAAAAATTTTATTTATGAGAATTTTTGCTTTTATTTAGTAATTGTGTAACCTTTTCCAGCTATCTTGCTGGGTATCCTCTAGGTCACATGAAAAAACTAGTGAAGTGGGGGGAGGAGTAGAGTATATACACACACATACACACACACACACACACACACACACACACACAGAGAATGAAAAACCAAGATAGCTCAGTACCCAGCCAAATGACTTGAAATTCATGTCCTACACAGTCATACTCTGTTTTCAATATATTTTCATTCTAGCTGCCCTAAAATGCCTATGCAAAACATGTCACTTAAGTGTAATGTTCTCAAAAGGAACATTATTTTCAAAAGTAAATCTTTTACTCTCAGCTTCTTAGAAAGTGTCAGGTCAGGAATATTCCTTATGCACAGTGTCCTTTTGGTAGTGGATACTCCAAGGGGCTTGGTAGGACTAGACTTAGGAAGTAAATGACACAGTTTGTAGATGAGGTATCTCTTTAGATTAGCTACTTGATGTTTAAGTTCTTTTTTTTTTTAACTTAACAAAATCAAATGCTTTCAAACAGGGCTCGACTCTTAATTGTAATGGAGATGATGGAAGGGGGAGAGCTATTTCACAGAATCAGCCAGCACCGGCACTTTACAGAGAAGCAAGCCAGCCAAGTAACAAAGCAGGCAAGTTAACCCCGGGTACAAATCAAACTGCCAACAATGTTGGTTAACAAGCACAATTTCATTGGGGGGAATAAAAGAAAGCTTGCAGAAAAGCTCTATTTACTCTCTCATTGCCTGCTTTGTTATGTGATCAGAAAAAAGATGCTTTGACAGGAGAAATGTGATACCTTTTATGCTTTGGAGGGGGGACTGTATTCTTAAGTTGTTGTCAATTGTCTATTATAAGATGTAAATAAACTCTGGAAGGAAGGTAATCTTAACTCTTGTAGATTGTAGATATCTTTGGACATGGCTTTCAAGCACTGTTTTTGAACTTTGAGATAAAACGTTGCTGATACCACTTAAAGGATTGTACAGTGTGAAAATATGTTCCGACAATAAGATAACTTTTGCTTATGAGTCACCTTTCTCTCTTCAGATTTTAGTAGTATTATAAGGTCTTTATAATTCTGGTTTATTCCTGGTTACAGTCTCTCTATTTTGATGTCATTTTAAAAAATTAGTCCTCACCAGAGGATATTTTTCCCATTGATTTTTAGAGAGAGTGGAAGGGAGGGGGAGAGACAGACAGAAATATCGATGTGAGAGAGACATCAATTGGTTGCCTGCTACTGCACTGGCCCCAACAGAGGGCTGGGGCCAGGGATCAAACCTGCAACCAAGGTATGTACCATTGACTGGAATTGAACCCATGACCTGATGCTCTAACTACTGAGCTACACAAGCTAGGGCTTGCTTGATAACACATTTCATTGCTAGAGGAATAATTTATGTCACAAACAATACTAGGAAATCAACTGGAAATAACATCTTGAGGAGATCAAAAGCTAAACCCTCAAAGCTAATCTTCATGTCAGGCAAGCAAGGCAAAGAAAAGCAGAAAGCCTAGCACAATTGGTTCTTAATTTTAAAAATCCTTCGAAAAAAATGTAAAAAAATATATATTTTATTAATTTTTTACAGAGAGGAAGGGAAAGGGATAGAGAGCTAGAAACATAAATGAGTGAGAAACATTGACCAGCTGCCTCCTGCACACCCCCCACCGGGGATGTGCCCGCAACCAATGGTACATATCCTTGACCGGAATCGAACCTGGGACCTTTCAGTCCACAGGCCGACGCTCTATCCACTGAACCAAACTGGTTTCGGCTAGAAATTTTTCATGAGCAATTTTTGATGCCTTCTTTGTGGTGCGGTGGTGCTGATACTTGGAATGCTAAGACATTTCCATACTGAGAGTTGAAGAAAAGGTAGAATTTGCTCTTGCTATTTAATTTTAAAAATTATACCTTGTATTTTTCAAATATTAGGACTAAAGGGTGAGCTCTGATAATCTTTTGTCAAACAAAACCCCTTCACATCTACCTAAACAGTGCACATTTCCCCAAGTGGGATGAGCACATTGGAATATCAGGTGGAAAAATCCAGCTAGCTGCTTCCCATTGTTCTTGAAGGAGAGCTTGGAAGTTGAGCTCCCTGGGGAGTGCAGCTCTTTTCTGAGCCACGTGTCCGGGCGCTGCCCTGTGGGGGGAGCAGCCTGCTGTCCGCCAGTGTTCACTCCGCAGTGCTTGTCACATTGCAGATGAATGCAAGTGGAAACATTTCATTTCCCTCATTGCGTACAGGACTTACCATCACAGTTTATTCTGATAAAGAATCATTTTACTATTGTATTTTTTTCTTTTTGCTTAACAAAATACACGTTGCAGGTAAACTAAATTCATTTCTATTTCTTGGTACCAAATGTTTTATTTAATTTCTGCTTTAAAATTGAAGACCGACCATAGTCTTAATGGTCTTAATTAAAGATCATTTTTTAATATCCTGAGTTCTCTAAACTAGGAGCACTAGAGAGTTAATTCTTCTAAGATGTGGTTGCTGTTATGTCCTTTTCCAGATAGCTCTGGCTCTACAACACTGTCACTTGTTAAACATCGCGCACAGAGACCTCAAGCCTGAGAATCTGCTCTTCAAGGATAACTCTTTGGTGAGATGCCTTGCTTTTCTTCATTTTAATGCTGCCATTCACAGCATAGTTCAGAAGTGGGCATGGAGTTGTGCATGTAATGTCTGAACCCACAGTGAAGAGGCTTTAGGCAGCTAATTTTTCCTACTTGTTTCCTTGCTGGAAGCCCAGAGAAATACCCCTCGCATGGATAATTTTTGTATGACTTAAGATTTTGTATATATATTTGTAGGACTTAAGATTTTGGATATTATTTGGGGGGACTTTAGCAAGGGGCCAGAATCTCTATGTTGTCAGTTGTATTTGCTGTTAACCCTGATAAGGTGTTTTTCTCTCCAACCCTACCCTCTGACACCTACACCATGTCCCATCGAATAAGTTACTCTGGCTATCAATGAAATTGATGTTGGTGAGAAGTGATGGGCCAATCTATAGAGCCAGGGAGCTTTTGAGTAAGATTTTGATTTAATGCTGACTTTATAAGTTATAAAACAAGGCTAACTGTGAGTCGGTAGAAATTGATTAATTTATATTACTAAGAACAATTCCACAATATGGACCATTGTCTCCAGACCACTCATATACTCAGGTCTCAACTGGAAACTTGTGAGAGCTGAAGGTAACATGCTTTGCACCTGGATTTCCCTCTAATGTTTACTGAGAACTCTGGAGCAGTGACTTCATTTATTTTATTTCAGGATGCCCCAGTGAAGTTGTGTGATTTTGGATTTGCCAAAATTGACCAAGGTGACTTGATGACACCCCAGTTCACCCCTTATTATGTAGCACCTCAGGTAAGCATGTTCTGTTTCTGCTGCTGGCTGTGCCACCAAGCTGCGTGTGCACTCACATTTCTACTCTACAGCACTCGTAGGTGTGCATTACAAATGGGAGGGAGAGTACTCAGTTTCAGAAACCTTCAATTTAACTTGATGTAGGCATTTTATTCTTTTGGAATCAACTTTATTAAGGTATGATTTATATAAAAATACTCCTACTTTAAATATAGTTTGATGAGTTTTGACAAATGGATACTCCTGCATGATCAGCATCACAATCAAGTTATAAAATGTTTCCATCACTTCAAAAGCTGCCTGCGTGCCTTTCCAGTCAGTTTGTTCCCAACTTAATTCCTAGCCCCAGGCAACCACTGGCATGCTTTCTGTTATTATTGGTTAGTTTTGTCTGTTGTAGAATTCCATAAAAATAGAACTTATGTATATTTTGTGTTTTACTTTTACTCAGTATATTTTTGAAATTCTTCCATGTTGCATGTATCATCATGCTTTTACACAGGCATGAGGGATGTCCCTAGGAAAAAGTGATCTCAGATGTCTGACAGGCTGGAAGAAGAGATAAATCTCCTCCAGGGATCCAATCTTAATGTTCTTGACCTGGGCAAGCACTGATAAATTGCTGGTGATAAGAGGGGGGTCGGGAAGGGTTTTTGAAAGTACTGTGTTTATGTGGAGTTTTGTGTTTTTTTTTATTGTTGACTGCCAGTGTGGACCCTTTTTAACTTCAAGGAGTCTCTCGAGTTGTGTGTCATTGGTGTGATTTTCAGTAAACTGTTCCCTTTGGCCTGACTCTGACAGGTACTAGAGGCACAGAGAAGGCATCAAAAGGAGAAATTTGGCATCATACCTACCTCACCGACACCCTACACTTACAACAAGGTAGGGGAAGAGTATTTTTCTTCACCCTCTGGGTAGCCTCTTTTCAGTGAGCTGGTTGTGGCCCTCTGGAATGTGGCTCATTCCATTCTTATCCCTGAATCTTCCTGTGCAAAGGCTGGAAGCAGCCACCCAAGCAAAAGAGTACCTTGGAATTCAAGTTTTTGTCTGATGAAATATAAAGTAAGGTTCTTATCGATTTAGGCTTTGCAGCAGGAGCCAAGGACTGTGGTCGACTATAGGTTATATATTTGGCTAGTTGTATAATCCAGTGTCCATATTTAAAAGACAAGGTTGTCTTTAAATTTACTTGCTAAAATCTCAGCATGAATGCAATGAATTTCCTGCATGATGCAATTTCCCAGTATTTTCTTCTCTTGCTGTTCTATTTTGTGAACCTAATGGTGCTCATGAATTAGTATGGCATTCATCAAAATTACACTGCAGATGAGTAACATGTTGAAAAAAACAGTTCATGTTACTTTTGTATGTGTTTAAATGTTGGTCTAAATATAAACTTTATATTGGGCAACTAAATGAACACTGAATGCTACAACTCATTTTTAATAAAAATATGTAATAAGATATTAAATTTTTGAAAATTAAATACATCAACCTTAATTAAAAAAAAAAAAGAAAAAAAAGAGAGAAGCAGGCTTGGCCCATGGGGCTCAGTAGGTTGGAGCATCATCCCATGCACTGAAGGGTTGCAGGTTCAAACTCTGCTAGGGGCACATGTAGGAGGCAAAGCTGATGGATGATGTTTCTCTGTCTCTCTCTCCCTTCCTCTCTGCAAAGTCAATAAAAATATGCCCTTAGGTGAAGAGTGAAAACGGGGGTAGGATGGGGGAGCAGGCACAATGAGTCCTTTGTGACCAAAGAAATGCCTTTGTTTATTTATTTTTTAATTTTAATGAGGGAGAGAGAGAGAGAGACAGATTTGGGGGGAGGGGGAGGAAAAGAGAAAAGGAAAGAAAAAAAAGATGGATATGAGATACATTGATCAGTTACTTCCTGTATATGGCCTGACTGGGAATTGAACTTGCAACCTAGATATGTGCCCTGATCGGGAATCGAACCGGTGACCTTCCAGTGCACAGGACAACTGAACCACACTGGCCAGGAATGAATGCTTTTTATTTATTTATTTATAAAATATGCTTTTATTGATTTCAGAGAGGGGGAAGGAGAGGGAGAGAGAATCATCAATGATGAGAGATGCTAATGTGTGTCTATGTAGTGTATGTGGCACATAATAAATATGGAGTGAAGCCCTAGCTGGTTTGGCTCAGTGGATAGTGTCGGCCTGAGGACTGAAGGGTCCCAGGTTCAATTCCGGTCAAGGGCACATGCTTAGGTGGTGAGCTGGATTTTCAGTGTGGGGCATGCAGGAGGTAGCTGATCAGTGATTCTCATCATTGTTGTTTTTCTCTTCTCCCTTCGTCTCTGAAATCAATTAAAATATATATTTTTAAAAAATGGAGTGAAAAGTTAGACTTCCTGAAACTTTTCCAGTCTCTGTTAAGTGATTCTTGGATAGATCAGCCTGTGTATGTCTAGGCCAGCCACGGAGGCTTTATTTTGGAGCTGTGCCTCTGCTAAAAGTGACCATTTTCTCTTTGCTTTCAGAGCTGTGACTTGTGGTCCTTAGGAGTGATTATCTACGTGATGTTGTGTGGATATCCTCCTTTCTACTCCAAACATCACAGTCGGACTATCCCAAAGGACATGCGGAGAAAGATCATGACCGGCAGTTTTGAGTTCCCAGAGGAAGAGTGGAGCCAGATCTCAGAGATGGCCAAAGATGTTGTGAGGAAGTGAGTCCCTGGGCCACTGGGCATGGAGACCAAGTAAGCCGTAAGGTGGCGCAACACAAGGGAATGTTGGGTAGAGAAAAGTCATTTGTTTCTTAGGCATGTTCATTCCTATTTAGCATCACAGAAATCTTACCCCTGGAGCCTGAGATGATGGTTCTCAGCGTCCACCCCTCAGTGGAAATGGAGCTTTGCGCCCTCCTATAGCATTCCTAGAATTTATCCCTGGGATTGTGAACCCAGGTCCTTCAATAGCCAGTGTCTCTGTGAGCATTAATTCAGGGCCTTAAGTGGTAATCTCTACTCCCTGATCCCTTTGTACCCTCTTGTCCGTAAGCCAATCATTTGGGATGGACATTAGGAATGAATTGGGTTATTAAGATGATAACAATGCTTTTGGCTTTTCATTTCTTGGCTGCTGTGAAAGTATGTGATTGATGGTGTGGGGCCTGGACCCCACTCTCGAGCCTTCTGACATATATGAAGATGGGAAGAGTTAGAAGAATTAGGCTAATAAGTAGATGAGGGACAGTTGACATTCAGAGCTCTTTGGTAGCTGGAGGGTTAGGTAAGTAGTCAGACCTAAAGTTGAGTGTATGTGGGAGGCTTAGCTGCCTGAGTCTTGGGCACTGTTCTAGTATTCCTATTGCTTGGTTTCACTGAGCAATTTTTCCTTTTTTGGTTTCAGTTTCTTCATCTGTAGTGTGATCAAGATAAGCATTAAAGGGGCAGTATCTTGGAACTGTCTCCTGATAGTACAATCCTTTCTCTGTGGAAATTTCATAAGCGAGCTTGTTCTGTTGACTAGGGGTCTGTGTATCTAAAGATGGGCTAGTTTCTAAAACATATAAGCAAAAGTTTTTTAGGAGGATAGAGGCAATTAAATCACTATCTGTCTTCCCATACTGTCTTTTCTACTACTTAACCAAAATATCAGTATCCTCTAAGTTGTTCTTTGTCAGTTCTATAGAATATCACTAGAGCAACATGAATCCTTTCTTTAGAATCTGAAGCTGTTTGTTCAGAATGATTCAGAATAAAAGAGCAAATAGGCATGTTGTCCTGACTCTGACATTCGGAATGGGGAGGGTATGTGTTGGAAGGAGCATGCTGGAGTGAGCTAGGAATTGCATCAGCATGAATACATAAGATATAAAAAGTCTGATCAGAGCAATACACAAGGCTTAGAAGGAAACGCCATCCCCTTCTCAGAGTCTCTAGGAATTTTGCTTTAGAATGTCTCTTGAATAAAAAATTCATGTCCTACCATGTGGTAACATCCGAGATCTCACCACAAGTAGCAACCTGAGTTTTCAAAACTTCCTGACCCTTCAACTAACTTTGTAGCCACTATTAGCCAAAAGAGAACTCTCAGGCCATTTTGGGAATTAGAGCTCACTACCCTAAAAACATCAATATGGAGATTCAGGGTCTTAGGAACTATGAGCAATATGTAGGATTATTTCATTAATCCTACATACTGGATTACTGGGCTGAAGTATCTCTGGGTTAAGTTTTTTCCTACCACTTTGACCTCACTTTGTACAGATGGGAAGGACACAGAGCCCTCACAGCTAGTGGTTAGGGACTAGAACCCCACCCCTGCTCTACAGATGGAAAGTCTAAGCTTGTAGGAGTTGGAAGAAAGTCAGACACTAGAGCTGGTTAGTACCAGACCCCAGAATTTATTGGTTGTCTGGAAGCAACTGTACATGGCAGCCCTGTTGGCCTTTTCTCCACAGGCTCTTGAAGGTCAAACCAGAGGAAAGACTCACCATTGAGGGAGTGTTGGACCACCCCTGGCTAAACTCGACTGAGGCTCTGGATAATGTTCTACCCTCTGCTCAAGTGATGATGGATAAGGTGTCTTTTTTTTGTTTTTAAATTTAAATTCTTTATTTAAAGTGTTACATAAGTCTCCTTTTTTTCCCCATTGATCTCTCCCAGGCTGTCCCCACTCTCCATGCATAAGGTTTTGAATGATACTTATTTTGTTGGCAGATAAGGTTGAGTTGAGAAGGAATGTTGGGAACTCGACTTAGTGAGGGGTTAAAGGCAAAACAATGTAGAGCATGCAGTCTTTTTCAGAGAAACATCTCTGGTTTCCTGAAAATCAAGGTTGGAAATAAAGAGCTTCCCATAAAGACCCAGATCAAGGCCTGGCAAATATACACTAAGGGAGCAAACCACTTAAAGGAATATCCTCCCTATGATCATCAGTGGGAAAAACAACCTAACTTCATGAATGAGATACGTTGTGACAGGGCCAGGCTTTGAAAGTAGCAAGTCTTATCTTTTAAAAAATGTATGTTTTTATTGATATCAGAGAGGGAGGGAGGGAGAGGGAGAGAGAAACATCAATGATGAAACAGAAGGTCACTGGTTCAATTCCAGGTCAGGGCTCTTGTATACCCCTTACTGGGGGTCAAACCTGCAACCCGGGCATTTGCCCTGACCTAAAATTGAACCAGTGACTTCCTGGTACATGGATTGATGTTCAATCACTGAGCTACAACGGCCAGGCTAGTCTTATCTTACTAGGATGTAGTTGAGATATTTGAAAAGATGTTTGCATAAGGAAGGTGTTTAGAAATGGATAACCAGAATTGCAGACTCACAAACCTAGGACTTGTGTGGTAATTTAGAATATGAGGGGCGGCTCTGAGAGCAGAGAAGTAGAGATGAATGAATAGGCTTAATACTTTTAAAGATAATTTTCTATAATTTTTGGCAACTGACTAGATATAAGGGAACTGTTGGGTGGCACATCAGGTGGTACCATCGACAAATAGAGGAAACTCAAGAATGAAGCTAGTTTGAGTGAAGGGAAATGTTTAGGTTTTAGATATTGTTTCAAGTGGTAGGTGGACACTCAAATGAGATTTGTGGTCTGGAAACAGAGTGTGACTGAGAGACAAAGGCAGTGGCAAACAGGCCAAGCTGGCCAGGGAGAATACTACCTTCTTAAAAGGGATAGGGTTGAAGTGTGACATAGAATGAATGAATAGGAAAAGAGAATGCTAAGACCTCCCTTAGTTTATGGGAGAGAAAGGAGAGCTGGAAGGAAAAGAATTCTCTGCCATCTCAGATTTGTGTCCAGAAGTATAAAAATGGTTTGGTCAGTCTAAATCCAAAGGGATTATTTGTATCCTCTGTTTGTCAGTACATGAGGTTTCAATGTCGCTTTCTTCAAAATCTTGGACATGAAGAAATAATTGCATCTGTAGTTACTTTAAAATTAGTGCATAATTAGCTGAGTGAAATAAGCCAATCAATGAAAGAGAAACACCACATGACCTCACTCATTTGTGGATAATAAAGAGCATTATAAACTGATGAACCAAAAGATAGATATAGAGACAGTATATCAACAAGTAGACTGTCAAATTACAGTGGGGAGGGGAGGAAGATCTGGGGGAGATAATAGATCAACCGAAGGACTTTTATACATGCATATAAGTACAACCAATGGACACAAAACTCTGGGGAGGGAGGGGGGCAAAAAAAAAAATCAATAAAATATATTAAAAAAAAAAAAAAAGATAAGGAATGCAAGGGGAGGAATAGGTTTTAAAGGAGAATAATAATTTCAATTTTGGAATATCTGTGAAAATAGTGAAATTATAGAACTTCATGAGCTCTGTTATTTGGAAAATAACTTCAAATTTCTGACATTAAATTCCCTCTTATTGTCACTGTTAAAAAAAAAATAAAATAAAAAAATAAAATTAGTGCATAATTAAGCCAAGTATGGATTTGCAGCATCTTCTTAATGAGAAAGAGTAGCTCATAGGCCTATAATATGGAACTTCAATGTGACAGTGTATTCCTGTTGTTAAAGAATGATGTGGTCATGATGTGGGTAGGTCAGCCTTGGAAAAATGGCAACATATGCAGATATTGAATAGTGTCCATCTAAGCCCTGGCCAGGAGATAGAGCCTGAACTTGTGCCCTTAAATTATTCCCATCTTTCTGGTTGGGCCATCACTGATGAAGAGATAGATATGTGGGTCCAGAGGGATGCATCCAGGGCTAGCTGTTACAGTCCCTGTAAATCTTCCTGATCTAAAAGCATGCTTAATAAGGAACTGCTTTTTTGTTTGTTTTTGAACTGGTTTTTTAAATTGTCAGAATTTATTGTTGAAATTCAAACAGTGCAGAGATATATAAAATAAAAAGCAAAAGTCCCCTTTCATTTCCTTGCCTTACTCTTACCCCTCAAAAGCGAGCTAACCTATGTTGTGATGTATCCTTCTTGATGTTTTTCTGGGGAGACCTTCACACATGTAAGAATTTGTCCTTTTTTAAAAAATACCAAAAAAAAAAAAAAAAAGGATCATCTTGTTCTTACAAAACTTCTGCTGAGTATTTGCTTTCCCTCATTGGTCTGCCTGTAATGAGAACAAGCATTGGTCATAAAGACACAGATTTCAAGTTCTACACTTCGTGACAGTTATTTCTCATTATAAATTAATTGACTTGAGTATAGACCAGTGCTTGAGTGTCTACCACACTCAGTGTGTGAAAACGGTTGGGGTTCTGAGCCATCAGGGCTGAGGTGCCTGTCTACACTTTGGAAGGCTTCTCGGGCAGTAGCTTGCCAGCCTTTTCTCTGATGTACACGTATGCCTCTCTTTATATCAGGTCTAGTAATAATTAATGTCGTTTTCTAATACTTTTTAAAATCGAATTTATTTAAACAATACAACAAAATTTAATCAACAATATAGTTGCCGTTGTTTTCTACTACTTGTGCCCAACGCTCAGGAAGCATTTTAATCCCTCTGTTGTAAAATTTTTGTGATTTTGATGCAAAAAATTCAGTCAATGCATTTTTGAGGCATTCTTCATTATTAAATTTTTTTCCAAGAAGAAAGTTTTGCAAAGAACGAAACAAATGGTAATCGGAAGGGGCAATATCAGGAGAATATGCAGGTTGAGGGAGAACTTCCCATTCCAACTGATGCAGTTTTTCAGCAGTGATTCTTGCAGTATGCGGTCGTGCGTTATCGTGGTGAAGAATTACGCCCTTCCGATTAATCAGCGCGGGTTCTTTTTCTCTTAAAGCTTGGGCTAACCTTTCCAATTGGGCACTATACACTGCACTTGTAATGGTTTGGTTAGATGGTAAAAGTTCAAAATGAAGAATTTCTTTAAAATTCCACCAAACACACAACATCACTTTTTTCGCATGCAAGTCAGGTTTTGGCGTGGGCTGCGGAGCCTCATTTTTGTCCAACCATTGAGGCCGCCTTTTCAAATTAACATACAGCACCCACTTTTCATCTCCGGTAACAATTTGCTCTAAAAACGGCAAACGGTTTTGATGAGAGAGGAGCGAACTGCAAATTGTGACTCTTTGATTACAGTTGTTGTCGGTCAACTCATGAGGAACCCATTTTCCAAACTTTTGGACTTTGCCAAGTGCACGCAATTGATTGGAAATTGTTTTTTTTTTTTTTTTTTTGCTATGATTAGCTTTTTTTTTTTTTTTAATCTTTATTGTTCATATTGTTACAAAGTTTCCTCATTTCTTCCCCCCTCCACCAGGTTCCCACCCCACCCTCTGCCCCCTCCCCATCCCCCATTGTCCTCATCCATAGGTGCAGTTTATGTTCAGTCTCTTCCTCCCTCCCTTTCCCCGATAGTAAATCCCTTTTCAGATAGTAAATCAGTTACTTAGCATTTTCTCATATCAATAATACCACTACATGCCCAATGATACATTTCACACAAAAGACATTTCCAAATAGGTCAACCAGCCTCATCCAGGCCCCACCCAAGGCACTCACAGATCAACACCCCAGCCCTATACATCCAGATCTAAGCCTTCATCACTTGATTCAGCAGACCCTCAAGTTCCCACAAAAGTTTCCAGCCATGTCTGAGAGGCAGCCGTGGGTCAGGGGCAGGCGAGGAGCGAGCTGTTCCGGGCCTGGCTGCTCCGGGCCTGGCCTCTGTTGCTCTGGTTCATTCCACAACCAGCTGCTCCGGGTCTGGTCACCGCCGCTCCCGACCTAGTTGCTCTGGACCTGGCTGCTGCTGCTCCGGGCCTGGCCGCACCCGACCCGGCTGCTCCGGGCCTGGCCACTCCCAGCCTGGCAGCCGCTGCTCCGGGCCTGGCCGCACACGACCCGGCTGCTCCGGGCCTGGCCGCTCCCAGCCTGGCAGCCGCTGCTCCGGGCCTGGCCACACCCGACCCGGCTGCTCCGGGCCTGGCCGCTCCCAGCCTTGCAGCCGCTGCTCCGGGCCTGGCCACACCAGACCCGGCTGCTCCGGGCCTGGCCACTCCCAGCCTGGATGCTCCGGGCTTGGCTACTGCTGTTCTGGACCTGGCTGCTCCCAACCCGGCTGCTCTGGGCCCGGCTTCTCCGGGCCCGGCCACTCCGGGCCTGGGTGTTTCTGGATTGGCCTCCCTGGGCTTGGCTGCCTCCACCTCAGGCCTGGCTGCCACTGCCCCAGGTCTGGCTGCTCCAGTGCTGGCTGTTGTTGCTCTGGTTCTGGCTGCTGCTGCTCTGGGGCCTGGCCGTTGCTGCTCCGGGCCCGGTTGCCATTGCTTTTTGCCTGGGCACTCTAGGCCTGGCTGCCGCTGTTCCAACATTCTGTCCTTTCTTTTTTTTAAACGCATTTATGTTACAATGTTGGCTAGTGAGTTGAGTTCTGACTTAGTCTTTGAATTTTCAAGATCTTCTTTGTATTCTTTCTTAAGTAATTTTACTATCTTTTGCTCTCACTTGATTTCTTCACATGAGAACTTTGGTTTCTTCCTCCTTGTCCTGGGAACTCAGCAGGTTGGCTTGTGGCACCCCTTTGTTCTCCGTGGGCTCTCATGTTGCTCCAGCCTGTTGCCGGGGTCGGCGCCGCCCAGGAAGCAGCCCCCGGCCTTGGCTCCATTGCCGGCGCTCAGAGGTCGATGGCTCAGGGGCACCCCCCCTCCCCCCGGGGGCCCCGTCGCCCGGCTCCCTGCTAGCGCCCGGCTGGCTGGTGTCCGGCAGGGGCTCCTGCTCCCTGTCGCATTCCTCCAGTCTGGAGCTTTTTTTCTTCTTCTTCCCGCTAGAGGAGTCCAGGATCAGAGTCAACAGCCTGTCCTCTGCGTGCAGTGCGCGCGACTCTGGCGGCTCCACTTTTCGCCACTCCCCCGGGATTCCGCCTCATAGCCCCGTCTCCCCCTGCCCGAGCCTGGGTCCCCAGGGTCTGGTCCAGGACTGGGGTTCAGAGCAGTCCAGACTGAGGCTCAGCGCCGCCGGAGGCTTTGTTTCTTCACGCTAGGGTAATCCAGCATCAGAGTCAACATTCAGTCCTCTGCGCAACTCCGGGGGCCCTGCTTTTCGCTGCTCGCTTGGGATTCCGCCTCACAGCCCCGTCTCCCCCGCCGGAGTCTGGCTCATAACTGGGGGTCAGCGCTGCCGGTTCGGGGGTTTAGCCCAGGCTGGGGGTTTTATTTCCTTCCTGCTAGGGAACGCCAGGCAGCACCCAGCCCTCACCTCCTCTCCGGCTGCGATCTCTCCGCACGCGCGTGCGTGCGAGCTCGCAGCATGTCTCCGTACCTTAGGCTTTTTTTCAGCTCCTCTGATTTTCCTTCTGGTTTTCTCTTTCCTTGTTGTTGTAGAATTTTCAGTCAGTCGACTACCTGTAGCTCTGGGCGATGTCCACTCTACATTTTAGTTGTATTCCATTGAAATTGTGTGCTGCTGCGGTTAGGTGTCTACCCGAGCAGCCATCTTGGATCCTCCTCTCGGAAATTGTTTTTTGTGAACAATTTAAAGTTGTCGCAAGCTCTTGTTGGGTAATTTGAGGATTTTGCACCAAAAGAGCTTGAAGAGCTTCTTGATCAAAATTGGACACACGGCCTCGACCACTCTTGTTATCTAACGAAAAATTTCCCTCGTGAAATTTCTCAAACCAACGCTGGCATTTTCTGGCGCTAACTGCATCTTGACCAAGAGCACTACAGATGTTTTTTGCAGCCTCACTTGCTTTTCTTCCTAATTGGAACTCGTAAAGCATGCAGTGCCGAATATGCTCTTCATCCGCCATCTTCTTAGCCCTAGTTTTGCAACAAAAACCAAACCAAACACAAACTTTTTCAAGGAAAACTTGTTAATTGCACTTCACACGTTTTGTAGATACCACGTGTTTGAAGGTTATGTCAATACAAGTCAACGCCAAGCAAGATTTTAAACAAATGTTAAAAACGACATTAATTATTACTAGACCCGGTACTTGCCCTTGCCAATGACTGTGACATGAGCCTTGGTAGTATTTCTTCTGGGCCCTGCTGATCCATGGGGAAGAATCTTTCCTTTATCAAAATTTGTATACATCCAGCATAATAGTGAAATTGCCTTCTTAATTCTTGGAGCTCCTTCCCATGCTCGGCTTTAGATCGGCTTTCTAGGTACTCAGAAATTAATATGAAAAACTGACAACAGTGTTTGCATTCAGGCGGTGGTTGCAGGAATCCAGCAGGCTCATGCGGAACAGTTGGCCAACATGCGAATCCAGGATCCGAAAGTCAGCCTCAAACCCTTGCATTCTGTGAACAACCCTATTCTGAGGAAGAGGAAATTACTTGGGTAACTGAGCTTATTTCATCTATTCTTGTTTATGGTTGGGTGGCCCATTTTCTGCCTTTTAAAAAATATATATTTTTTAATTGATTTCAGAGAGAAAGGGAGAAGAAGAGAGGGATAGAAACATCAATGATGAAAGAGAATCATTGATAGCTGCCTCTTGCAAACCCCCTACTGGGGATCGAGCCCGCATCCTGGGCATGTGCCCTGACCAGGAATCAGACTGTGACTTCCTGGTTCATAGGTTGATGCTCAACCAGTGAGCTGCCTCTTAAGAAAGAAGAATAAATTGTTTTTAAATAGCATCAAAAGTTGGAGATGCTGTATAGTTAATTTTCTGAAAAATCTGTTACCTTATTTTTAGAGTTAACATCTGTTGAGTGTTAGGTTTTTGGGTCTTACCTTGTTATTATCTCTCCCCCAAACTTTTAAAGCACCAAGCCAAAGGATGGTGTTTATATCCACGACAGTGAAAATGGAACCGAGGACTCAAATGTTGCCTTGGAAAAGCTCCGAGATGTGATTGCTCAATGTATTCTCCCCCAGGCTGGTAAAGGTCACATCATTTACAAATGCTGTGTGTGTGTGTGTGTGTGTGTGTGTGTGTGTGGTGTGTGTGTGTACATGTGTCTGCATGCACATGATAAAAGGAGTGATTTAATTTGAGGTTGTTTGTTTCATCTTTGTGTATAAGAAAGTAAGTACATTATATAAATCAGTCTTTACCCATTCAAGAGTGGATGGTGGGTTAGAGTAAGTTCGACCTTTCCTTTGTTTTTTGTTTTTTTGTGACATTTGTAATTTAGGTTTAAGGTACAGCACATAATTTTATATTTTTTTGTTTTGTTAATGAGGGCATGTTTGGAGAATGGAAAATGTGGACAGGGTCATGCTCAGTTTGAGAAGGTCAGGAGACTCATTTCCAGAGCTGTTAGGAGTTCAAGGCTTTATTAACTTGTGACTATAAAGAGAATACACCCCCAGTTCAGGAGTGGACTCTGCTGCTACTCGTGTGATGGGCAGTGTGTGACTTACATGTGGTTTCTTTTGAGTGAGAGTTTGCTTTCAATGTTATTTCCCCACTCATTGGGATGTAATGGGCTTTTCTCAGAAAATGAAAGAGATTAGTCAAGTAGTAGGTCAGAAAACTGTTGGGTTGACCTGTCTTCATAGTTCTTGCATTTTAAGAGAACTCATATTTAGTGCACCTCCAATAGCCTTCCAAAGTAAGAAATGAGCTTAGAAGAAAGAAGGTAGCCCGCTCAGCCTTGTTCTTCCTCTATATCTCTTGATCTGTTAGGTTAACCAGAGACCTAAGCTGTTTTTGCTGAGTAATAGTCTGACACTGCCTATTCGCATCCCACAGTGCAAAGACTCTGGGGCCATCAGAGGATTTGTGGGAGGAATTCAAAGACCAGAAGTGGTCTATATGTCATGTAGAGATTAGCAGGAACGGCAGTGTCTGGTGAAGTTGGTACCTTTAGTCATCAATTTTCAACAAGTTGAACATCCTTCCATCTCTGACACTAAAATCCCATAATGCTGCAGGGAAATGCAACTTCTTCATCTTTATCAATAGGCGAGAATGAAGATGAAAAGCTGAATGAAGTAATGCAAGAGGCTTGGAAGTATAACCGGGAATGCAAACTCCTGAGAGATACTCTGCAAAGCTTCAGCTGGAATGGTAGGAGCCTTAATTACTTCTTTCCCCAGGAATACAGTGAAGTGATTGTTTAGGACACGTAGGAATCTTTGGGGGTCTACCTGGAGCTATTTTTTTTATTGTTGTTAATTTTCACCGGAGGGTATTTTTCCATTGATTTTTAGAGAGAGTGGACGAGATGGGGAGAGACAGAGAAAACATCGATGTAAGAGAGACATATAGACTAGTTGCCTCCTTTACACTCCTAATCAGGGTTAGGGATTGAACCTGTAGCCCAGATATGTCCCCTTGACTGGAATCAAACCTGGGGCCTTTCAGTTTGGGGGCCAACACTCTATCCACTGAGCCAAACCAGCTAGGGTCTGGCTTTGTTCTTGGACAAGAGAAATCCAGAGCAATAGCCTGGAAGAAATTATCTTCTATGGTATGTTTTAAAAAAGATTTTGAAATATCAATACAGAAAAGTAATCACATTTGAAGTGTGTACTGTTGATGATTTAAAAAAAATTTTTTAATTGATTTTTTTATAGAGAAGAAAGGAGAGGGATAGACAGAAACATCAATGAGAGAGAAAAATTAATCAGCTGCTCCTGCCCACTCCCTACTGGGGATGTGCCCGCAACCAAGGTACATGCCCTTGACCGGAATCGAACCTGGGACTCTTCAGTCTGCAGGCCGACACTCTATCCATTGAGCCAAACTGGTTAGGGCCTGTTGATGAATTTTTACAAAGTGAACATTTCCTATAATTAATCCTTAGTACATGTAGTGGAACATGGACTCTCTTTAGTCACTACCTCCCACCCCCAAGGGTTATCACAATCCTGATTGATAGCGCTATTTTTTTTTTTAATATTTCTTTTTCTTTAAAAAAAAATATATATATTTTATTGATTTTTTTACAGAGAGGAAGGGAAAGGGATAGAAAGCTAGAAACATCGATGAGAGAGGAACATCGACCAGCCATTCCTGCACACCCCCTACTGGGGATATGCCCGCACCAATGTACATGCCCTTGACCAGAATTGAACCCAGGACCTCTCAGTCCGCAGGCCGATGCTTTATCCACTGAGCCAAACCGGTTTCGGCTGCTATTTTTTTTTTTTAATTATCTGTGTACATATCTTACCATTGCCCCCCTGATAACACTATTGATTTGTATTTTATATAAATGGAATCAGACAAGTCTATGTTCTTCTGTGTCTGGCTTCTTTTAGTTAACCTTATATTTGTGAGATTCAGCCCTGGGTATAGCAGATCATTCTCATTCTCTATACATTTATATTCTCAATATATGTTTCTCTCTCTCTCTCTCTCTCTCTCTCACCACACACACAAACACATGGATGGGCAAAAGTAGGTTTAAAGTTATTAGTATGCAAAAGTTTATTCTTTTATTATTTATTGTTTGTATTATGTATTTGCATTTTTCTTCTTTTTGTATCCTTACTTTTGGTGGCTGGTAATTTAACCTACTTTTGCCCACCCCTGTGTGTGTGTGTGTGTGTGTGTGTGTGTGTGTGTGTGTGTGTATAGATAATCTACTTTTGGACATTTGAGTTATTTCCAAGTTTTGGTAATTAAGAAAAGGGCTGCTATGAATGCTCTTGTGTATTATCTTTTGAAGAATGTTTTGATAAACTGATTTCTCTTACATCATATATCTAGCATTGAATTGCTGGTTCACGGAGGTATGCATCTGTGTGGCTTTAGAGGGTACTGCTAAGAGTTTTCCGAAGTGGTTATTCTGGTTGATACTTCCACTAGCAGTGTTTGAGGGTTCTACGTATCCTACTTCCACACCAACTCTTGTCTGTCTTTCCATTTATTTTAGTCATTCTGGATAGATTATAGTGTTTTTACAGTATCATTTTGCTTTGCTTTTCCCTAATGAATTTTAGCACTTTAAAGACGTTTATTGGCCATTTAGTATTCCTCTTTTGTGAAGTACCTCTTCTTTTGCTAGTTTTTCGGTTGTGTTATATCTTTCTTATGGATGTATGAGTTCTTTATAAATTCTTGATAAGAGTCCTTTGTCAGACATATATATTACAAATATCTTTTTCTTCATAGTTTCCTTGTTTGCTATTGTAGTGAACATTGGATTGTTATTGCTAGCTTAATGGAACTGCTCAATTACTACTTGCAAAATGGGGCGGGGGGGAGGTCTGAACTGCTTTTGATCAGTGTTGGGTATGGTTCCTCCATTGGTGAAGATGAATTGGATACTGATAAGGTGTACCTTACTGGGTTCCTGTCAAGAAATTGTCTCCTCCCAAATAGTTTGGAGATTGATCTTTTTCTTTCTTGGGTTTCAGGTCGTGGATTCACAGATAAAGTAGATCGACTAAAACTGGCAGAAATTGTGAAGCAAGTGATAGAGGAACAAACCATGTCCCATGAATCCCAATAATGACAGCTTCAAACTTTGTTTTTTTACAACCTGAAAAACTATTCTTCAATGTAAAAAGTAATTTTTATGTAAATTAATAAATCATAATTTCATTTTCACATTGCTTAAAGATAATGTATAGATTTAGATATGGTATTTACTAATAGAATAGTTCATTTGTTTGTTTTTAAGAAAACTTAGTTCCTAGAGATATACATTATTTTAGGACTGCTTAGTCATGTTTATAAAATGACAGATATATCAAGCAAGATTGTTTTATTTGTAATAAAGTATATAAAAACCACTTGTTAGCGATAGACAAAGGACCAACTATACTGATCTTTCTGCTTAGTAAACGGTTGAATCAAATACTGTGGAATTTGGTTTTAATTGCCCGGTGTATTTACTTTCTGCACTATTGGTAGATTAGCCCTCGTGCCAAGAAATGTTTGTGGATCCATGTTGCAGACTGTCTGCTGAAACTCACAAGATGCTGGCTCCCATGATGGGAGAGGCAGAGAGCTGAGCCTTCATTTTTGTTGTCCCTAATTCCTAAGAAATAAGTGGTAACACTTTGGTTTTTTTTTTATTGTTCATATTTGTTAAAAGGAATTGGTGTGATTCTTAAATCTAATGGATTCTTTTTTGAGTTTATTCTTTTTATGTTTAAACAAAATTTCAGTTTTCCTTCCTCTGAGACCCTACTTTGTCCTCTCTCCTTCCTGGCAGCCCTCACCAACTCCATTGCTTCTTATGTCTTTTTCCTGTTCTTCTGGTCCACTTACGGGGTGATTTCCTGAGAAAGTTAACATTTCATGAAAAGTGGACTTTTGGATTAGCATCTAATATGGTCCAGGTTTTTTCCTATTAAAGCTGCCCTTTTTTTCTGTAATGTTTCTACCTAGGTTTCATGTCGGCATCCTCTGGGCTGCATTTATTTTCTTCTGCTACCTTCATTACCAGGAAGCATGCTTCTGGCCAAGTTCAGCTGTTTGAATGGAAATCAAGGCTGGATGCTTTTCTGTTTGTCTTTTTGTCAAATGGACTTCCATAACAAATCATGTTTAAAAAAATGTTTTTAGAAGCTTAGCTGTGTTCTTAAGAAGAGCTAATAGACAAACACCAATTTGCAGAGCAGAGGAAAAGGATTGGTAAGCTCAGATAATCAGTTTTATTCTGGCACATTCTCTTCAATCAAAATCCACCCCACAGAGCTAACTCATTTTGCTGAGTATATAATTTAGGTGACATTTGGTTAGTATGGCCCATATACAGATGTAACTGGAAATACAATATAAAGTATCTTTTTAAAAATATATATATTTTATTGATTTTTTTTTTTTTTTTTTTTTTTTTTTTTTTTAACAGAGAAGAAGGGAGAGGGATAGAAAGTTAGAAACATCAATGGAAGAGAAACATTGATCAGCTGCCTCCTGCACACTGGGGATGTGCCCGCAACCAGGGTACATGTCCTTGACCAGAATCATTCCTGAGACCCTTAAGTCCGCATGCCAACACTCTATCCACTGAGCCAAACTGGTTATTGCACAAAGTATCTTTTAAGAATTACCTTTTTACATTTATTCCCTTTTATTTTGGGGAATTTGTTATTTAGGTATTTTTTTGAGGTAAGACTCACTCATGTTAGGTGAATGGATACCCTGTAAAGAGTATTCATTACTTTTAAACATGGCAAAATTTAAGAATAAGGCAGCAGAGAAATGTTTTATTTATTGACCATAAAACTTAGCTAAAAATTGAATTAAGGATTGAACTGTATTCTATTTTTCAGTGAAATGTAGTCTTACAAATCACTTCTTGCAATCAGGAAAAACTGCACTTGTTTCTGGAACAACTGACCACGGGTTGTTTTTCTTATCTTAGGGCACAGGTTCAGTATTCACGAGGGATACTTTGTTACTCTTCTTTTTCTTCAGAGTAAATTTCTAGCATGCCCACTATACCATTAATTTCTCAAATCATTTGTTTAGGTGTCTTCTAAAGGCTCAGGATGATTTCCCCCCCACTTCAGGGTGTGGTGAGTTTTGGGCATGCCCTAAAAGGGTATCCCAAATGATGTCTTCTGTTTACTTGGAGCAGCTGTTGCCCATGTAGCAGTTGTTAGAGGGGGAATTAATCTGGTCCCCAAATGTGCACTGGCTCCAGACATGTCCAGATGAGCCCCAGGCTGAAAGTTTGTGAATACCCTATACCTTACAGCTCCAGCTATTGTAACTCAAAAGTGGATCCTACCCTAGACAGAGTTCTACTGTTTGGTGGTCAAAGTTTTCCTTGTTGAGTGAGTTTGTAGGCCAGTAGCAAGTACTGCCGTACCATACCAGTCAGGTTCACTGATAAAGCAAAATTTGTAACTCAAAGTGAGACAAAAATTGTCCTTGTCTCTTCTGGCCAATCTCTCTGATGCCTAAACTTGCAGAAAGTTAATATTGTCAGAACAGTTTTTGTAAACAGAAGGTTAGAGTCTCTAGTTTTACCACATGATTTGCTAACTTCTGCTTACTAAAACCAATACATATCACAATACATATTCACCTTTAGACATTACCATAGTTATAAACTGCTTGATGTAAAACAAGTTGTATATCTTCCTGGCTAACATATTGTATAAGCATAGGAGAATATCTGTCAGAAATTTATTGTTTGAAACAGGAGGAACTTCTTAAATAGTTTTGTTTTGTATTTATTTGAGAAAGAACAGGTTGAAAAAATTACTGGTTAAAGAAGTCAAATGATTTAAATCAGATCTTTTGTATGAATGCTTACGTGTGTGTTATTTATTGAAGAAAATGTTTCAATTTGGGAACTGGAAAACTGGATATTTAAATTATATTTTTATTTATTTAAAAAGTAGAGGTTTTCTTTCATTCATTTAGTGCTTTCATCCCACAAAATTACCTAACCTAATTTGCCCTGCCTGTTTTGGTTAAGATACAGGGAAGCACAATTAAATCTTATAATTTCTAAATTACTAATTTTAAGAGGCTTTCCACTTACATGAAGTACAAAGAAAAAAGAAATCCAGCTAGCAATCATTTCACCTTTTTGCTGTAAAATTTAAAAATAAGTTTGTGACATAGCAGTATAAATTTTCTTGCTAGATGATAATGATAATTTTTATCATCTATATGAGGACTTAAATATTAATTGGGTATAATGAGTTGATCTGCTCATGCTCATATATGAGATCTTGTGGTATATCATTCTGAAATAGGGTAGTTTCCCATTTTTTAATGTCTAACTTGTACTCAACCCTTATTTTATACTTTAAATAGCTGACTTAATATAAATTATTTTTGCAAGGTAAAGGATCTAGAGTTTTAATTTAACTTCATCTTAGAATGCACAGGAAAATAACTGGGCAAGAGTTGTAAATAGGGCTTTCCCCTGCCTTTTTCCCTTTTAAATTTGTACAGTTGAATACACCCGGATATTAAGATAAAATCTGAGGACTTATACAGAGGTTAGAGTTCAATTTTAGTTACAAAAGTGAAGAAATCTTTTAAAAGGTCTTATAGAGTTCACTTTTATTTTCTTAATGAAATGCTATCTAGGTACTTGGTTAATAATCAGCTTGTTTTTATGTTGGGACAGTTGGGAAGAAATGAACTTTGATCCTATTCACTTAAACTATCTCCATGGTGAAATTGAACTCATTTCAGTTAATACTTAATATGTCTCTATGTTAGGAAAACTTCTTAGAAGATAAAAATTATGTTTATATTTAGATATAAAAGCCTAACTTCATCTTCTATGAACAAAGGCTAATGAGGGAGAATTTGAGCATCTGCATGCGATTTTTTAAAATTAAAGACAAAAAATGATACTGATAATGAAGGGTTGGACTGAGAAACAGTAACCCTGTATTACAACAGAAAAGAGGAAAAGAGGTAGAGGGTAACAGAGAACTTTGTCCTACTCATCTATCCCCCAAGAATCCCCGTCCCCTCCCCCCAACCTCCTGCCAGAATGTTGGGTTTCAAAGCATGAGCAGATTAACGGATATCAGGGAGTTCTGTGGCCTGGACTGAGGATGAGGATAATTTGTTAGAGTTAAAGTACTGGCTGAATCATTACAGACTTTCTACTTCGTGTATGTCTCTGTGAGGATAAAGAGAATTTAGACAAGAGCATTAAAGCATTTGTTGTTTGAACGAAATCATACAGTAAGGCAACAACCGAAGATCAAGAGGGAAGCAAGAGTATAAAGACGGCCTCAAAGTACGAAAGACTGAGTTGGGAAGCAGTCAACCATAAGGGAGCCAAATTAGATTTCAGTCTCCAAGGTTCAACATGCCAGGGAAAGCTGCTGCTGATGGACACAGACCCTGTACCATCAACTGATTCACTAGGGCCATGTCAGATTCTGCCTCTCTATGGATAAACCAATTGGCCTTGAAAAAGGGTAAGATAAAGTTTCAGACTTGGGCTCAGCAAAAGGACTTAAGGCTGGGGCCAGTGCCAGGATCTTCATGTATCCATTTGGGAATTGTGATACTGTTGGTGATTTTTCTGCCAAGTATGTACTGTGACCAGGGATCAGTATATTATACTTTCTATGAAATAGTTATTCCCAAGTGGCTGATAGTTCAGGAAAGGGGTGGCTCAGAGAAAAATACATCATATATGATATTTATGCAGGGCGAGAAACAGCTGATTCACCTGAAAGTGAAGACTGACTATTTTATCAAGAACTTTCCAGTCTTCAGCTACCACAATGGCATCCTGGGACAAGAAATGCCTTTCATCTCACATGACTGTCACTATGAAGGCTACATAGAAGGAGTCCCGGGTTCTTTTGTTTCTGTCAACACCTGTTCAGGCCTCAGGGGCATCCTGATTAAGGAGGGAAAATCCTATGGCATTGAGCCCATGGACTCTTCAAAACAGTTTGAACATGTGTTGTACACCATGGCCCATCAAGCTCCAGTCTCCTGCAGTGTCACTTCCCAAGACAGCCCAGTGGTGTCTGCCAGCCGACAACAAGGGAGCAGGAAGCCTGGCGGTCTACAGGAGCCCTCCTCCTTGTGGTCACTCACCAAGTACGTGGAGATGTTTGTTGTGGTCAACAACCAGCGGTTCCAAATGTGGGGCAGTAACGTCAATGAGTCAGTCCAGAGAGTGATGGACATCATTGCCCTGGCCAACAGCTTCACTAGGGGGATAAACACACAGGTGGTGCTGGCTGGGATGGAGATTTGGACCGAGGGGGACCTCATAGAGGTCCCCGTGGACCTGCAAGTTACACTGGGGAATTTCAACAAGTGGAGACAAGAGAAGCTCCTCCATCGTGTGAAGCATGATGTTGCCCACATGATTGTCGGACAGCATCCTGAGCACGGTATGGGACAGGCATTTCTCAGTGGTGCCTGTTCCCGTGGTTTTGCAGCAGCTGTTGAATCCTTCCCTCATGAAGATGCCCTCCTGTTTGCAGCGCTCATGGTCCATGAGCTTGGGCACAACTTGGGTATTGGGCATGACCACTCAGCCTGCATTTGTAAAGACAAACACCTCTGCCTCATGCGTGACAATATCACTAAAGAAAGTGGCTTCAGCAACTGTAGCTCTGACGACTTCTACCAGTTCCTCCAGGATCACAGAGGGGCCTGCCTATTTAACAACCCTCAGCGGCACAAAGGCCGCTTGCGTAGGGATTCCTACTGTGGAGATGGTGTGGTGGAGGGTGAGGAGCAGTGTGACTGTGGTTCTGCCTGTTACACTGACCCGTGCTGTGACCAAACATGTAGCCTGAAGGGGAGTGCAGAATGTAGTGATGGACTCTGCTGCTTTGGTTGCCAATTGAGAAATAAGGGATTCGTGTGCCGTTCTGCTTCAGGAGAGTGTGACCTCCCAGAGTATTGTGATGGCAGCTCTGCAGAGTGCCCCACAGACACCTATAAGCAAGATGGTACACCGTGCGATAGACTGCACTACTGTGTTGGGGGTCAATGCAGAAACCCTGATAATCAATGCATGGCTATGTATGGGGACACTGCACGGTCTGCTCCAGAAAATTGTTACATTTTAATAAACAGCAAAGGGGACCGGTTTGGAAATTGTGGCCATCCCACTTCGGCAATGCCAAGATATGTTAAGTGTTTTGATGATAATATATTTTGTGGGAAAATTATATGTACAAATCTTAGACAGGTCCCATCCATCAAACCCCATCGCACACTGATCCAGATTCCTTATGAAGGTGACTTCTGCTGGAGCTTGGATGTCTATAACATTACTGATATCCCTGATGAGGGAGATGTGCACTTTGGCACTGCTTGTGCCCCAAACAAAGTCTGCATGGATTACTCCTGCACTAATCATGCTGTGCTCAAGTATGACTGCAAACCAGCAGAAATGTGCAATGGGAGAGGAGTCTGTAACAATTTAAGGCACTGCCACTGTGAGGCTGGCTACGCACCGCCCGACTGCCGAACGCCAGGAAGTGGGGGCAGTGTGGACAGTGGTTCCCCTACTAAGCCAACTGATGAAATTCTAAGTGTAGATGAAGGTTCCAGTCCTCAATTTAAGATTGAGTTTCCAAAGCTTGGCATTATAGCTTTCATACTCCCTGCATTTCTTTTTATTTTATTGCTATTAATAATATGTTGCATTAGTCTTAACGCTGCAGTTGAGTCAGTAGAGACCCCAGGTGCCTCCCCAACACTGAGTTCAGAGCACACATCAGATCTGGTCCCATCAGAGGCAATCGCAGAGGAGGGCCTCCCACCAGAGGAGGGCCTCCCACCAGGGGAGCCCCCACCACCAGGAGAGCCCCCACCACCAGGGGTGCCCCCACCACCAGGGGCGCCCCCACCACCAGGGGTGCCCCCACCACCAGGGGCGCCCCCACCACCAGGGGCGCCACCACAACCACACCAGCCTCCACCACCTGAGGAGCCTTTGCCACCAGCAGCACCCCCTCCACCAGCAGCGCCCCCTCCACCAGCAGCGCCCCCTCCACCAGCAGCGCCCCCTCCACCAGCAGCGCCCCCTCCACCAGCAGCGCCCCCCCCGCCGTAGGAGCCCCCTCCACCAGAGTCATAAGCGATGGTAGCAATTGAAGCACAGAAATAACCAAAGGCAGAAGAGTAGTTGAAGAAGCCAAATAATATCAAATACCTCAAGTACTGAGTAGGAATGGAAGGCTTAGAAAGGCAAAGAGAAAAAGTGAGAATTGATGGCTCCAGTGGCGCTGATTGGACTGTATAGTCTATAGAAACACTATGTAGGAAGAGAACTCCTGCTTTCAATATTTACTAACTTGATTATACATATATGAAATAGTACATGAAATATTCTGTATTTTTGCTTTTTCCCACTTCATGAAACTAAGTATTTCTCATGGATCATTGCTAGTTGTTTCATTTAGGCCACTTTTTGACCTGAAATCTTTTTTCAGGGTATTCCATCTTCCATCTACATTGTTTGACATAATGTATTATGTATAACTATATTACTGGATTATTCAAACCAGTGACAACAATGCATTATTTTAGGAACATTATCTATTAAGTATTCTGATTTGCCTTAACCATCTCTATTCATGAAAGAGGTAATTTAAAATAAAGAAATAAGTAAATAAATACAAGGTTATTTTCAGATTAAGCATTATTTCAGACTCCATGCAGTCTTGTACTTGGGTTTCTTTAATTTGTGCTTTCTGGAAGGGGTTATATCTGATCCAGGGTGGTCTGATCACACTGGGTCTGGGATAATTGAGGTAAGTGCTGAGATCATATTTGAGGTATTTGCTTTTTTCCTTAAATTCTATATTGAAGTTGATATTTTGTCTATTAACAACTCATAGGAATGTTTCCTATATAGATAGCAATACTTTCGTCTGGTAGTTATTTGCTAAGAGAGCACAAAGTATATGCGATAATATTACCCATCCTGTGCAAGACACTATGCTAAATAGATACTTTGCATTTGTTGTCTTAATTTAATCCTCTCATACACCCTAAGAGGCCTTCATCTTGCACATGAGGAAACAGAGACCAAAGAGCTAGTAAAAGGTAGAACCTGCATCCCACCCGAGGTGTGACTGAATGTGTGTTCTTCACTGTCTCATGAGCTTTTGCTTCAGAAAAGAAAAAAAGAAAGTGACTAGAGAGACATTTGATATGTTTTTTCTTGCCCAGAACATGGCTTCTTATTTGGTGACTCTAATGAAACAAAAGCCACACTGTATAGTCATTATTGGTGAAAGTGTCCTTTCCCCATTACATTCTGACATCATGGAATGGCAGGTTTGTATCTTTTTCAGCTCTGAGGACCCCGCTCATTGTAAGGACTCAGTAAATGTTGACTTAGTGAAGGATTTAACCAGAGCCAACCATAGGATAGGAAAGTAACCACTTTGGATTCCACTTGCTAGATATGACATAGCCAACCCTTGCTCAGGTGCAGTGTTGGTACAGGTTGAGTCTGAGAAGCTCCTTAGCATCAGTCCCTGATGATCCATATGCTGAGTCCCTCTTCTACCTGCCTACCCTATGTGAGCAGAAAAGAGCAAACAAAAGAATAAGACCTAGTTTCTGCTTTTAAGAAGTTTATGTTGCTGTAACCAGTGTGGCTCAGTGGATAGAGCATCGGCCCGCAGACTGAAGGGTCCCAGGTTTGATTCTGGTCAAGGGCATGTACCTTTGTAGCAGGAACATCGCCGGCAGGGGGTGTGCAAGAGGTGGTTGGTCGATGTTTCTCATCTATGTTTCTGGCTCTCTATCCCTCTCCCTTTCTCTACGTAAAAAATTAATAAAATACATTAAAAAAGAAGTTTATATTAATTATTTTGGTGGAACAATCCTAAACTTCAGAGCAAAATCCAAAATCAAGCCTTTCAGTTATATAAGTTTTCAAGTAACAAGATCTGCTGGTAAACAAATCTCAGAATGTTGTATGCCAGACATCAAGCTTCATGGGGAAAACATGCTATTGATCGTCACCTGAGAGCTCCAATAACAAGGATAAAACGGGTAACTGAGTGCCTTCAAATGTAAACTTGTCATTAGAGACTTGGAAAAGATGTGGAGGATTTCTACTGAAAGGCACTTCAGTGGAGAAAAGAAGGGGTAACCTTCCTGACTACATGTGGATGGTGAGTATACTAAAATATAATAAACATCATATATTTTCAAAACTTAGCAAATATAAGGGATTTAGGTATAGGATAATCATTCTTATCTAATCTAATGGCATTTGTTAAGGACCAAAAGTCAGGTATATAATTGGGAATCAATCAGTAAGACCTATTTAGGATTTCATAATATTTGACAAAAATTTAACAAATATAGAAATTATATAGACTTTTAAATTTTTCATTGCTGTTCTTATGACTGACTCTCAGGTGTAGAAGGAAACGGCTCTTTGAATGAAGTCCTTTGAAAAAGTGACAAAATTGGACATATTTATACATTGCAAGGTGAATCTTAAAATGTGTGAAATACCCAAACTCTAGGGATTGTCAGTTGAAGGTCTTTAAGATAGACTATACCAGGGAAGTGATTTTTTTTCTTTGTTATTGTTAATCCCAACCCAAGGATACTTTCCCATTGATCTTTTAGAGAGAGTGGAAGAAAGAAAGAAAGACAGAGAGAAACATTGATGTGAGAGAAACACATTGATTGGTTGCCTCCTGCACAGTCCCCGACCTGGGCCTGGCTCTGATCAGGGAATGATCCTGCAACCAAGATATGTGCCCTTGTCTGGGAACAAACATGGGAGGGACCCTTTGGTCCAAAGGCCAATGCTCTATCCACTGAGCCAAACCACTAGGGCGGGAAGTGACCAATTTTTAAGTGGGCAGGAGAGAAGGTAGGATAATTGGGTCTGGAAGCTCCAGATTCGCAGTTCAGTGTCCTGTATTATGTGTAACTGCTTCTACGCAGTGCAGACTCTTTCACCTGATTCCTCTCCCCATTATGTCTGGGGGATTCTGAGGGATGCTTGCTTATAGGTTCCAATAATCAGTGTTGCTAATCTCTCAAGACCCAGTCAGTTGCTGCCCCAGGAGACTCTAAAAGTGATTGCTTGCCGTCCTTTACCTGCCTTCCCTTGGTGGCTACTGTCTTCTGTGCTTCCTCAGACTATGAAAACCCAGGCCCTTCCTTTATTCCCCAAAGTACAGCCAAGTCCAGGCTCTAGATTTTTATTCAGATTTGTGGAAACAAAGGAAAATTACAAAGTGGAAAAGAACAAATTTGATGTTGCCGATATTGTTCCTGAAGCCTCCCTGGGAGACTGTACAGGTCCCTTTTCTTTAGATGTTGCCAATATTGTTCCTGAAGCCTCCCTGGGAGACTGTACAGGTCCCCACCTGACATATTTTCTTGTCCATGTAGGACATGCTTTTAGTATTGTTCCTATAACTTGCAATCAATCTCTCCTCACTTCTCTAGGGCTCAATGGAAGGAAAAAATAAAATATTTTTGTTAAACACAGATGACATTATCAAATGTCAGAGGGGCGCTAAAATTTTACATTACAAAGTTGCAAAAAATTTTTAAAACGTATAATTTTTTAAAACTTCTGGTGTTTATGAACTTAATATCAAAGATAGAATTTTGGTGCTTCTATTGGGCAAATATATTGACATGTTTTTTTCAAAAACAAAAGAAGACTTCTACCAAGAATGTTGGCAAAATGCTGACACTTTAAAATTAATACTCACCTTGTTTCTAGACATTAAGCTTTACATATTTAATAATATTTTTGATTTTTAGAGATAAAGGAATATATAGAGAGAAACATCAATGTGAGAATATAACATCAATCCACTGCCTTCTACTGGGGATCTAGCCCACAACTAGCCTTGGCATGTTCCCTAATGGGTATCAAACTGGCAACCTTTTGATGCATGGGATGATGCCCAACCAACTGAGCCACACCAGCCAAGGTAAGCTTTACATTTTTAGAACTATAGAAGAATTTTTTAAAAAATCAATACCACCTTTCATATTTAATAAAATTATGGAAGTCTTGCATGAGGTTATACTAGAATGAATAAATGAGGATATGAAGTTTTTTAATCAATTTGTGTACAACAAGGCCAGAGTGGCTCTTCTCAGTCAGAAAATTTTAAATTATTTAAGAAGAGAACATCAGAGATAGAATCATGCTGAGAAAGTGTTTGCAACATCATGCTTGGTTCATCTAACTGGGCTCTCAAAGGCCCTTACTTTCAGATCAGTCTCTCTTTCCCCTTTCCATTTCTCTCTTTAAAAATCAATAAAAAAAATCTTTTTTAAAAAGTGGAAAGATAGAGGATCCAAGATGGCAGCTTAGGTAAACACACCTAAACTGCTGCCGTACCCAACAATTTCAAAACTACAACTAAAAGACAAAACATCTATCACCCAGAACCATGGGAAAGCTGGATGAAAGGAAGCTCTACAGCTAGACTGAAAGAGAAAGGAGCATTCAGGGCACAAGTGCTGAAAAACTGAGATATGGGGGCACACGGGAAATACGGGCTGGTGGTGGATCCCGGCTGGCAGAGGGCATTGCTTTCTTCAATCCCAAGAGAGACAAGCTCCCAAGCTCTCTGAATTCCAGTTTCTGGGGAGAAGCTAGACTGTCTGCCACTGGGTCGGAAAGTGAGGGTGGCTTGCTTGCAGAGCTGTGCATAAGAATAATTGTTTGGTGTGCTGGGGCGCAAGAAGTGGGAACGTGGTCAGAGAGGCAGAGATGGCTGATGGGCAGCCATCACTATTGGCCATGCCTCAGCCTAGTGACACCCTAAGACCCACCCTGAGTCTCTGCCTCACACAATCTACAAACACACTCAAGCTCCAAACAGCAGCTTTTGTATATGAATGGCCTTTTCTATTGCAGTTTACCCTAGCAAACTTGCAACCTGGTGCAGACAGCTCCAAAGCCTCCAAGCTCCAAGCAGCAAGGAGAGGACTGTGGTTCTCACTGTAGCTTCTGCAGGGTGGCCTCAGACAGTAGCTGAACTGCACCCCATTGGAAATCCATGAGCCAGTGTACCTAGTGGTCAGTGTGAGACACTCACATCCATAAGTGACACATTCAGGAGGCAGACTCAGTGAGTACCAAAGCCCCACTAAAACAAGGCTGGCACCATAAGCGTGTCTGCAGCGCAGTAGTTCTTCCATTATAGACACAGCGGGTCTATAGTGGAAGCCTGGAGGTCAATTCCTCCCAATGTACCAACAGCAATCAAGGCTTACCTAAACCAAGACTTTGCACTCAGCTCACAAAGGGGTTTACCAAGAGCAACTACCTCGGTGATTAGGGAAGCTGACCTACTGAACCCTATAGGTCACCTACCACACAGAGCCACTCCATCATCACAGGGAGGCAACCAAAATATGGAGACACAGAAGCATGTCACGAATGGGAGAGATGGAGGAAAGTAAACTGTTGGATGACACAGATTTCAGAATCACATTTATAAGGGGTCTCAAGAATCTTCTAAAAACTGTTGAGAAACTTGAAGAGACCTTCAAGGACCTTAATGAGAATACCAAAAAAATGGAAAAGGACCAGTTAGAAATTAAGCATACACTGTCTGAAATAAAGAATATACAGAAATTCAACTGTAGATCACCGTACCCCAAGAGTAAGGTGACCAGATGTTCCACTTTTGGCGGACAGTCCCAAATTTTAGAAAGTATCTTTTAAATCTTTTGGACTTTTTAAAAACGCCCTGGGATGCGGGACAAATTGTTAAAAATCGGGACTGTCCCGCCAAAAGCGGGACATCTGGTCACCTTACCCAAGAGTCAATCCAAAGATCTATAATATGAAGAAACAAAGAACACCCAACCAGAGAGGCAGAAAGAAAGAAGAATCCGAAAGTGTGAGGATAGCATAAAGAGCCTCTGGGATGGTTTTAAGCATCCCAACATCTGGATTTTTGGGGTGCCAGAAGAAGAGAGAGAGCAGGATATTGAAGGCATATTGAAAGAAATAATGACAGAAAACTTTCCCCACTTGGTGAAAGAAATAGACTTACAAGTCCAGGAAGCACACAGAACCCAAAACAAAAGGAATCCAAAGAGGACCACACCAAGACACATCATAATTAAAATGCCAAGGGCAAAAGACAAAGAGTCTTACAAGCAACAAGAGAAAAACCGTTATTTACCTACAAGGGAGTACCCATACAACTATCAGTTGATTTCTCAACAGAAACTATTCAGGCCAGAAGGGAGTGGCAAGAAATATTCAAAGTGATGAACAGCAAGAACCTACAACCAAGATTACTCTACCCAGCAAAACTATCATTCAGAATTGAAGGTCAGATAAAGAGCTTCACAGAAAAGCTAACGGAGTTCATCACCACCAAACCAGGATTATATGAAATGCTGAAGGGTATTCTTTTTATTTTTTATTTTTTATTTTATTGAGTTTTTACAGAGAGGAAGGGAGAGGGATAGAGAGCTAGAAATGTCGATGAGAGAGAAACATTGACCATTGCCTCCTGTACACCCACTATCGGAGATGTGCCTGCAACCAAGGTACATGCCCTTGATCGGAATCGAACCCGGGACTTTTCAGTCCGTAGACCGATGCTCTACCACTGAGCCAAACCGGTTTTGGCTGAAGGGTATTCTTTAAGAAGAGGAAGAAGAAGAAAAAGATAAAGGTAAAAAATATGAACAACAAAAAGACATCAAATACATACCTACCAATAAGTGAATCTAAACATCAAGTGAATAAAAAAATCTGAAGAACAGTATGGACTGGTGAATATAATAGAATCAGGGACATAGAAAGGGATTGAACTGACAATTCTCAGGGAGAAGGGGATCTGAGAGGTGCAGGAAGAGATTGAACAAAAATTTTACACCTATGGATGAAGACAGTGGCAAGGAGTAAGGGCATGGGGTGGGGAATCAGATGGGGGGAAGGGGAAGAGGAACACCTGTAATCTGAACAATAAAGATTTATTATATAAAATTTAAAAAGTGGAAAGACAGAATGAGAGAAAATATTTGCAAATCATATCTGATAGAGACTAGTACCCAGGAAATATTAGTGAGTCCTACCATTAAGAAAAGGGCACCCAATTTTATAAGGGCAAAGATGTAAATAAACATTTCTACAAAGAAGATAGTGACCAAAAAGAATATAAAAAGGTGTACCATCATTAATTAAGGAATTGCAAATCAAAACTATGAGATATCACTTCATATCCACTAGAATGGCTATAATTTAAAAAGTAGAAAATAACAAATATCAGTGATATGAGAAGGAATTAGAAGCCTCATTTATTGCTGGCAGGTATGTGAAATTGTGCAGCTACTTGGGAAATTCCTCAAGAGGATAAACAGAGTTCTCACATGACCAAACAATTTCACTCCTAAGTATGTACCTAAGAGAAATGCAAACATATGTCCATGCAAAAACTTATACTCAAATGTCCATAGCAGAATTATTCACTATAGTCCCAAAGTAGTAACAACTAAAATGTTCATCAACAGATGTATCTAAAAGTAAAATGTGGTATATCCACACAAAAAAGAACATTATTTGGCCAAAAGAAAGGGAATTTTGATGCAATTTTCCACATGGCTAATTCTTGGAAACGTTGTGCTAGGTGAAATAAGCCAGTCACAGAATATTACCACATGTAGCATTCCATTGCTATGAAATGTCTGGAATAGACAAAATCATTGAGCTAGAGAGTAGAGTAATGGTAGCCATGAGCTGAGGGGAGGGGAAAATGGGGAGTGACTGCTAATAGATACTAGTGTTTTGCTTCGGGGTGAGAAAATGTTTTAAAATTGATTTTGTGACAGTTGTATAATTTTCTAAGCACAATACAATCTACTGGTGTGTACACTTTATTTTATTTTTTTAAAATATATTTTTATTGATTTTATACAGAGAGGAAGGGAGAGAGACAGAGAGCTAGAAACATCGATGAGAGAGAGTCATCGATCAGCCGCCTTCTGCACACCCCCCACTGGGGATATGCCCGCAACCAAGGTACATGCCCTTGACCGGAATCGAACCCGGGACCCTTCAGTCCCCAAGCCGACGCTCTATCCATTGAGCCAAACCGGTCCCGGCTGGTGTGTACAGTTTAAAGGTTGAATATTATGGTATGTGAATTATATCTTAATAAAGGTATGATTAAAAATAAAATTAAATTTCCCTTCCCCTCCCCTCTCCTTCTCTCTCCTCTCTTCTCTCTCTCTCTGTCTATATCAAATATTCATAATATAAAATTAACCCTCTTTACTATTTCTAAGTGTATAGTTCAGTGGCATTAAGTACATTTACATGGTTTTGCAACCATCACCACCATCCACTTCCAGAACTTTTTCATCATCTCAAACTGAAACTGTCTTCATTAACCAGTCTTATTACTCTTTCCCAGCTTCTGTAACCTCCATTCTTCACTTTGTTTCTACCAACTTGATTACTCAAGGAACATCATATAAATTAAGTCATAATACATGTGTCCTTCAGAGAGGAAGGGAGAGGGAGAGATAGAAACATCAGTGATGACAGAGAATCATTGATCAGCTGCCTCCTGTATGCCCCACACTGGGGATCAAGACCAAAACCTGGGCAGGGCTCTTGACCAGAATCAAACCCGGGACCCTTCAGTTTGTAGGTGAATGCTCTATCTACTGAGCAAAACCGACTAGGACACATGTGTCCTTCTCTGTAGCTGAGTTGTTCACTCTTAAAATAATTTACTGAAAATATATTTATGCTTTATTCACATTTTGTGATTGTGTTAGGTTTCAAAATTTAAATTTCAGAAAAGAAAAAAGTAGTGGTGCAAATTGGAACAGAATGCATATACTGTATGTTTCCAGTTTCAGTATGAAACAAAGAGGAGATACTGGATGTCAACTGGAGAATGGAGAATAAGAGGGATGATTTGATAAAGATGAAACATTATAGCACATAATGATATTAGGTCCAATGGATAAACAGATGTTTCAGATATAAAACACAAAAGGGACAGTTGGAATAGTCAAGTCCATGAGAAACTGAAAGGGAAGTAGACCCCACACACAAGCAGTGGATTGGCCTTAGATTGGAGTATGGACAATTTATTTACCAGAGTCAGAGGAAAACTTAGATACAGGTGACTCAAGTGGTGTCTCCATGTGAAAATACTTTCCATTGCTTTTATTTTTCTCAATAAAATATGAGGCACGAAGACATTAGGAAAGTGAACTGACCAGCAAAATGTAGAAAGAGGAAGTACATTTTTGAGGTCATGAATGTGCATAATTGTGGGTTTTTTTTTCTAGAGACACTTTCATTCTTTCAGGGCAGGTGTGAAGAGAGCACAAACAAATAACATACAACAGATGATACATCATAGCACCAGATGATACATGATAGCATTATTACCTGAGAGTCATTTATTTATTCAATAAGTAATTGTAGTTAATCTCTTTTTTAAATAGTTTTTATAAAGAGATAAGAAGGGAGAGATAGAAACATCCAGGAGAGGGAAAAATCAACATGGATGGACTGCCTCATGCACGATGCCTGCTGGGCACTGAGCTTGAAACCAGGGCATGTGTCCTGATCCTGAATCCAATCAGCAACCTCTTGGTGCATAGGTTGACACTCAACCAATGAGCGACCCTGGCCAGGCTAGTTCATCTACTCTTAAACTAGAATGTACTAGTATAAGGATTAAAACAGAAGTGGGCATTGAACAAATGCAGGTCATTTTCAAATACAGGGGAGACTTTTGGGATACCTAGTCTTCAGTTGGCATTATTGTAGGGTACTGATATGTCCGGGCCATCCAGAGAAGGATGTGTGCCTGGAGTTACCACCCAATGTGCCCATGAAAATCACACATAAGAGAAGGCTACTGTGTTGGCCTCTTCCAACACATTTTTCAACAGTGTTATAAACAGAACCCGAGAGAATGAATTTTGATTATGTTGAAAAAACAAACAAACCTGGAGTCTTGTCCCTTGCCCCACGATCATCAACCCATTTAGATCTATTCTGAGGCACAGGACAGTCACCCCCTTGCTTATCTAACAGCTTGCCTTGAGAGATGTGCATAACACTATAAAGCCTCATTGAGTGATCGAAAATGTCCTGGTTTGATGCTCATATGTTACAGAGCAAGAGTTTTAAAAGAGGAGCAATGGAGTGTGCCCACCAATGATTTCCAAGCCCTCTGGTATGGAACATTAGGAGTTGGCTGAGCAACGGACACAGGAGGGGTGGAAGTTCCGTTTGGCACAGTTGAGGAAGGCATAGAGCTTTTGTTTCCTCTCCCAGAGTTTGCAGTCCTTCTTCGTAATTATAACATCACAATATCAAAGAACTGTAGTCAAGGATCACTGAAGCTAATGATATGGAATGAAATCACAGAAAGGACACTATCTGAATAATAAGAAAGGTCAGAAAGACTAGAAAGGACACAGCCAGAGGTAGGCAGCATCCACCCTTTATGAAGCCAGCAAACACCTGCAGCTAATCCTACTGTCTAACCATCTGCATGTCAAGGAGCAGTTCTGCTCATGGACCCAGGCCCTGCATCAGCCACTGATTCACTGGGGCTATGTCAGTGGCCTTTGTGAGGGACTCTCCCGCCTCTCTGTCTTCTCTACAGAAGAACCAAGAGGTTATGTATGAAGCTAGCAGAGTGCTTCAGACCTGGGCTGCCCAAATAAAGGGCTTGGCACTGGTACTGCTGCCACGATCTTCACCAGTCAGGTTGGGGATTGTGCTGGTGTTGGTACTGAGTTTCCTGCCAAGCTTGTGCTGTGACCTGGGGTCAGTATATTCCTCATCCTATGAAATAGTCATCCCCAAGGCTCTGACAGTTGAGGGAAGGCAAGACCCAGAGGAAGAAGCATCTTATGTGATATCTATGCAAGGCCAGAAACAGCTAATTCACCTGAAAGTGAAGACAGACTATTTTATCAAGAACTTTCCAGTCTTCAGCTACCACAATGGCACCCAGGGACAAGAAATGCCTTTCATCTCACATGACTGTCACTATGAAGGCTACATAGAAGGAGTCCCGGGTTCTTTTGTTTCTGTCAACACCTGTTCAGGCCTCAGGGGCATCCTGATTAAGGAGGGAAAATCCTATGGCATTGAGCCCATGGACTCTTCAAAACAGTTTGAACATGTATTGTCCACCAAGGCCCATCAAGCTCCAGTCTCCTGCAGTGTCACTTCCCAAGACAGCCCAGTGGTGTCTGCCAGCCGACAACAAGGGAGCAGGAAGCCTGGCGGTCTACAGGAGCCCTCCTCCTTGTGGTCACTCACCAAGTACGTGGAGATGTTTGTTGTGGTCAACAACCAGCGGTTCCAAATGTGGGGCAGTAACGTCAATGAGACGGTCCAGAGAGTGATGGACATCATTGCCCTGGCCAACAGCTTCACTAGGGGGATAAACACACAGGTGGTGCTGGCTGGGATGGAGATTTGGACCGAGGGGGACCTCATAGAGGTCCCAGTGGACCTGCAAGTTACACTGGGGAATTTCAACAAGTGGAGACAAGAGAAGCTCCTCCATCGTGTGAAGCATGATGTTGCCCACATGATCGTCGGACAGCATCCTGAGCACGGTATGGGACAGGCATTTCTCAGTGGTGCCTGTTCCCGTGGTTTTGCAGCAGCTGTTGAATCCTTCCCTCATGAAGATGCCCTCCTGTTTGCAGCGCTCATGGTCCATGAGCTTGGGCACAACTTGGGTATTGGGCACGACCACTCAGCCTGCATTTGTAAAGACAAACACCTCTGCCTCATGCGTGACAATATCACTAAAGAAAGTGGCTTCAGCAACTGTAGCTCTGACGACTTCTACCAGTTTCTCCAGGATCACAGAGGGGCCTGCCTATTTAACAACCCTCAGCGGCACAAAGGCCGCTTGCGTAGGGATTCCTACTGTGGAGATGGTGTGGTGGAGGGTGAGGAGCAGTGTGACTGTGGTTCTGCCTGTTACACTGACCCGTGCTGTGACCAAACATGTACCCTGAAGGGGAGTGCAGAATGTAGTGATGGACTCTGCTGCTTTGGTTGCCAATTGAGAAATAAGGGATTCGTGTGCCGTTCTGCTTCGGGAGACTGTGACCTACCAGAGTATTGTGATGGTAGCTCTGCAGAGTGCCCCACAGACACCTTTAAGCAAGATGGTACACCGTGCGATAGACTGCACATCTGTATTGGAGGTCAATGCAGAAACCCTGATAATCAGTGCATGGCTATGTATGGGGACACTGCACGGTCTGCCCCAGAAAACTGTTACATTTCAATAAACAGCAAAGGGGACCGGTTTGGAAACTGTGGCCATCGCACTTCGGCAATGCCAAGATATGTTAAGTGTTTTGATGATAATATATTTTGTGGGAAAATTATATGTACAAATATTAGACGGGTCCCATCCATCAAACCCCATCGCACACTGATCCAGATTCCTTATGAAGGTGACTTCTGCTGGAGCTTGGATGTCTATAACATTACTGATATCCCTGATGAGGGAGATGTGCACTTTGGCACTGCTTGTGCCCCGAACAAAGTCTGCATGGATTACTCCTGCACAGATCATGCTGTGCTCAAGTATGACTGCAAACCAGCAGAAATGTGCAATGGGAGAGGAGTCTGTAACAATTTAAGGCACTGCCACTGTGAGGCTGGCTATGCACCGCCCGACTGCAGAACCCCAGGAAGTGGGGGTAGTGTGGACAATGGTTCTCCTGGCAAAACAGAGAACGAAAATCCAAGTGAGGATGAAGGGAACAGTTACAGTGTTGATCATGAAAATGTTGGCAATGGTGGTGTGAATAGAGATGAAAATGAAAGCACAGGTGATTTGTTAGTATTGCCCTTCCTTATTTTGATAATATTGTTTGTTTGTTTGTTTTTCTTCTTTTACTGTTTTTTATTTTTTTTAATATTTTGTGGTCTACTTATTGGTGCCCCTCTTAGGCCTAAGGAGGATATTTTACAGAACTCAGAAGAGGCCATCCCAGGAACAAGAGAACGCTGGTATAATTAGAGGAAGACGACATTAAGAAAGGAAAAGCTAACAATAGAAAATGAGTAGTGATAGGAAGAAGTCTTCTATAGCAAGCGCTTCATACACCTGGTGGAAGGAGGCTCAGTACAGCAAATGTGAAGTGGACATCAGCAGTAGAAGTGGCTCTGATGTGGATTGTAAAGACTATAGAAATGTACTAATGTAAAGGAGGGATTTTCTTCTATCTTTTACTAATTAATTATAGATGTGTATGTGAAATAATTTATAAAACATTTTACTATATTTTCCTTTTCCACATTTTATTATGTCATTTAAATAAACTCTTCTCTTGGATCATTCCTATCAATGTCTTATCTTAGTTGGTCCAATTTTTTAGTTACCAGGTTTTCAGAGAACGCTATCTTCCATCTTCTTTGTTTGACATATAGATCTATGCCAGTTTTTTCACCCCAATCACAACTACACATTATATTAAGAAGGTGTTTTTGTTTTGTTTTCACAAATTTGCATATCATCCCTGCAGGGGCCATGCTAATCTTGGTATCATTCTGATTTTTTAGTATATGTGCTGAAGTGAGCACAAGAAGGTTGTTTATTTGATTTGTAGTTCTCATTGAACTGGATAAGTATACCTATGAAATAAAAATATTTTAAATTAAAAAGTAGCCCTAACCTGTTTGGCTCAGTGGACTAAGCGTCAGACTACACCTCCTTTAATTTAAAATATTTTAAATTAAAAAGTAGCCCTAACCTGTTTGGCTCAGTGGACTAAGCGTCAGACTACATCTCCTTTCCCAGGTTGGATTTCAGTCAAGGGCATGTACCTTGGTTGCAGGCTCCTCCTCTGATTGGGGGCATGTGCAGGTGTCAACCAATTAACGTATTTCTCTCCCATTGATGTTCCCCTCTCTCTCTCTCTCTCTCTCTCTCTCTCTCTCTCTCTCTCTCTCTAAATAAATCTTTATTGTTCAGATTATTACAATTGTTTATCTTTTTCTCCACAGCTCCACTTCACCTGGTTCTCACTCCACTCTCTGCCCTTATCTCCCCACCACTGTCCTCATCCATAGGTGTACGATTTTGTCCAGTCTCTTCCCGCATCCCCCACACTCCTTTCCCCTGAGAATTGTCAGCCCATTCCCTTTCTATGCCCCTGATTCTATTATATTCACCAGTTTATTCTGTTCCTAAGATTTTTAAAAATATATATTTTATTGATTTTTTACAGAGAGGAAGGGAGAGAGATAGAGAGCTAGAAACGTCGATGAGAGAGAAACATCGACCAGCTGCCTCTTGCACATCCCCTACCGGGGATGTGCCTGCAACCAATGTACATGCCCTTGACTGGAATCGAACCTGGGACCTTTCAGTCTGTAGACCGACGCTCTACCCCTGAGCCAAACTGGTGCTGTTCCTAAGATTTTTTATTCACTTGATTTTTAGATTCACTTGTTGATAGACATGTATTTGTTGTTCTTAATTTTTATCTTTACCTTTTTCTTCTTCTTCCTCTTCTTAAAGAATACCTTTCAGCATTTCTTATAACTGGTTTGGTGGTGATGGACTCCTTAAGCTTTTTCTTGTTTGTGAAGCTCTTTATCTGACCTTCAATTCTGAATGATAGCTTTGCTGGGTAGGGTAATCTTGGTTGTAGGTTCTTGCTGTTCATCACTTTGAATATTTTTTGCCACTCCCTTCTGGCCTGCATAGTTTTTGTTGAGAAATCAGCTGACAGTCATATGTATACTCCCTTGTAGGTCACTAACTGTTTTTCTCTAGCTGCTTGTAAGATTCTCTCTTTGTCTTTTGCCCTTTACATTTTAATTATGATGTGTCTTGGTGTGGTCCTCTTTGGATTCCTTTTGTTTGGGGTTCTGTGTGCTTTGCTTCCTGGACTTGTAAGTCTATTTCTTTCACCAGGTGGGGGAAGTTTTCTGTTATTATTTCTTCAAATAGGTTTTCTCTCTCTCCTCTTCTGGTACCCCCATAATTTGGATGTTGGTATACTTGAGGTTGTCCAAGAGGCTGCTTTCCCTAACTTCAAATTTTTGGATTTTTTCTTGTTGCTTTGCCGGTCGAGAGTTTTTTTTCTGTTTGTTTGTTTTGCTTCTTTGTATTTCAAATTTTGACTTGATTCTTGTAGTCCTCTAGTCTGCTGTTAGGTCTCTGATAATATTTTTTTATTATCGTCAGTGTATGTTTAATTTCTAGTTGGTCCTTTTTCATATCCTCAAGGGTCTTGCTAACTTTATCAACCTTTTCTAGGAAATTTTTGAAAAACCTTATAACCGTGGTTTTGAATTCTATATCCAGACATTTTCTTTCCTACATTTATTTCATTTGTGATCTGTTTCTTTGTCTCCATATTTTCACTGCTTCCCTGAGTTGGTAAAGTAGCTTTGTGTAGTAGGTGTCCTATAGGGCCCAGTGGCTCAGCCTCCCCCATTACCTGAGGTGGACACTTTCCACCCCCCCCCCCAATTTTAAAATTAAGGTATTATATGTATACATATCTTACCATTGCCTCCCTCCCCCAACTCTCATACATGCCCTCACCCACCAGTGTTTTGTGTCCTTTGGTTATGCTTATATGCATGCATACAAGTCCTTTGTTTGATCTCTTATTTCCCCATGAGGTGGACACTTTTGGTGCACCCCTTTGTGGACTGTGTGCACAACCTTGCTGTAGTTAAGTCTTGATTGTTTTGGTATCACTGGGAAGAATTGACCTCCAGGCCAATTGGCTGTGAGGATCAGCTATGTCTATGCTGGGAGAACTTCTGAGCTGGAGACACCCTTATGAGACCAGACTTGCAAAATTGCAACAGCCTTTTTGCTCAGCTTGGATGGGGCAGATTCTCAGGGGGGATGCAGATATCCTTGGCTTCCAGTCAACCTTGCCCTATGAAGCCCCTGGGTCTGGTTTCCTTGGTAATCGCTGCAAGCATCTCTGAGAGAAAGCCTCCCTCGAGTTTCACCCACTGCCAGACATTCCAGTTTCTCCCCAAATGAGTCTTGGTTCCCAGAAATTCCTCCGGAACTGGAGTTCAGCACAGTCAGGAGCTTCCATATTCCTCCCACTTTATTTTTTTTAAACAAATCTTTATTGTCCCCCCCCCCCCCATAATTCCCCTCCACCTGATTCCTAACCCCACCCCATGCCCTTACCCCCACCACTTCTTTATCCATAGGTGTAAGATTTTTGTCCAATCTCTTCCTGTACCCCTCAGACCTGTTTCCCCCTAAGAATTATTTGTCCAATCCCTTTCTATGTTCCTGATTCTATTATATTCACCAGTTCATTTTGTTCTGCAGATTTTTTATTCACTTGATTTTTAGATTCACTTGTTGGTAGGTATTTATTTGATGTCTTTTTGTTGTTCATAATTTTTGCTTTTTCCTCCCCCTCCCCCTCTCCTTTCCCCTCCCCCTCCCTCTCCCCCTCCTCTTCCTCCTCCTCCTCCTCCTTCTTTCAGAATACCCTCCAACATTTCATGTAATCCTGGTTTGGTGTTGATGAACTCCTTTAGCTTTTTCTTGTCTGTGAAGCTCTTCAATTCTAAATGATAGCTCTGCTGGGTAGAGTAATCTTGGTTGTTGGTTCTTGCTATTCATGAATTTGAATATTTCTTGCCACTCCCTTCTGGCCTGCATAGTTTCTGTTGAGAAATCAGCTGACAGTCAAGGGGTACTCCCTTGTAGATAAATAATGGTTTTTCTCTTGGTGCTTGTAAGATTCTCTTTGTCTTTTGCCCTTGGCATTTTAATTATGATGTGTCTTGGTGTGGTTCTCTTTGGATTCCTCTTGTTTGGGGTTCTGTGTATTTACTTGACTTGTAAGTCTATTTCTTTCACCAGGTAGGGAAAGTTTTCTGTCATTATTTCTTTCAATATGCCTTCAATATCCTGCTCTCTCTCTTCTTCTGGCACCCCAAAAATTTGGATGTTGGTACGCTTTAAGCCGTCCTGGAGGCTCCTTATGCTATCCTCACACTTTTGGATTCTTTTTTCTTTTTGCCTCTCTGTTTGGGTGTTTTTTGCTTCTTTATATTCCAGATATCTGGTTTGATTCTTGGGGTACATTGGTCTAAAGTTGAGTTTCTGTATATTCTTTATTTCAGACTGTGTATGATTAATTTCTGGCTGGTCCTTTTCCATTTTTTTGGTATTCTCATTAAGGTCCTTGAAGGTCTCACAAAGCTTCTTGGGGGTCTCATCAAGTTTCTGAAAGGTTTAGAAAATTCTTGAGTAACCTTATAAATATGATTCTGAACTCTGTGTTGTCCAGTAGTTTACTTTCCTCTATCTTTCCCATTCATGACATGCTTTTGTGTCTCCTCATTTTGGCTGTCTCTCTGTGTTGATGGAGTGGCTTTGTGTGGTTGGTGACCTATAGGGGCCAGTAGCTCAGCTTCCCCAATCACCTGAGGTGGTTGCTTTTGGTATATCCCTCTGTGGGCTGAGTGCAAAGTCTTGGTGTAATTAAGCCTTGATTGCTGTTGGTACACTTGGAGGAATTGACCTGCAGGCCACTTGTCTGTGAGGATCTGCTGTGTTTATAAAAGAAGAACTGCTGCGCTGGAGACATGCCTTGTTTCAGTGGGGTTTTGGTGCTCACTGAGTCCATCTTCCGAATGTGTCACTTATGGGTGAGAGGGGTTAAAACTGAGCACTAGGAACACTGGCTTCTGAGTCTCCAATGGGGTGTAATTCAGCTACTGTCTTAGACCACCCTGCAGGAGCTACAGTGAGAACCACAGTCCTTTCCTCCTTGGACTTAGACAGTTTGTTAGGTTAAACTGCTTCAGAGAGGGCCATTCATATGCAAAAGCCGCTGCTTGGAGCGCCTGGGTGTGTTGTTTGTAGGTTGCTCAGGGCAGAGTCTCAGGGCAGGGTCTCAGGGCGTCACTAGGCTGGGGCGTAGCCAACAGCGATGGCTGCCCATCCACTGCCTCTCCAAGCGCGTCCCCGTGTCTCCCCACGTCTCGTCCTCCCCGCACAGCAAACAAATATTCTTGTGCGCAGCTCTGTGAGCAAGCCACCCTCACTTTCTGACCCGATGGTAGACTGTCTAGCCTCTCCCCAGAAACTGGATTTCAGAGAGATCTGGAGCTTGTCTCTCTTCAGGTTGAAGAAAACAATGCCCTATGCCAGCCGGGATCCATCGCGTCCTCACCTCCCTACCTCGGTTTTTCAGCGCTTGTGCCCTGAATTCTCCTCTTGATCTTTCAGTCTAGTTGTAGGGCTTCCTATCAGCCAGCTTTCCCTTGGGTTTTGGGTGACAGAATTTTATTTTTGAAATTGTGCGCGGCAGCAGATTAGGTGTGTTTACCTACACCGCCATCTTTGTTCTCTCCCTCCCACTTTAGAAATCCAACTGCACACTCAGCCACCCGTGCACTCAGCAGTCAGCCTTCTCTGTGTGCACCCTCCGGACCTCTGCATATATATACTTAATTAATTTTGAGAGGAAATGAGAGGGAGAGAGAGAGAGAGATAGAAACATCAATGATGAGAGAGAAACATTGATTGGCTTCCTACTGCACACCACCGACTGGGGATTGAGCCCACAATCCAGGCATG